GTACTTATTGTGAATACTCAAACTTAGTTTTTTTGATTCCTCACATGTAAAAGAATGCATTTTTCTTTTCTTCTCAGCCATATTTTCTGCGGTTTTTTCACATTTACTTTGAGTGTTCTTTATTGCCGTTATCAGATCGCCCCTTCTTGAACTTTATTATTTCATTTTTGTTTTTAAAGTATCTTCATATTGCAAAAAATATAGGTACTTAATCAACTTTTCCAATTGATGAGTCTTAAAAATGATTGTTTTTTCGAATACTCAAATTTTGTTCTTTGTTTGCGCACATGTAGGTAAACATCGCATATCGCTTTTGTTCCCACAGGGAATTTTCTGCTATTTCTAGCATTATTTATTGCTGTTATCAGATCGCCTTTTTGTGAATTTGAATATTTATTTATTTGTTTCAGGGTTTCGCGAACATCTAAGCAGCCGGGCCAAATGGCGGACAATTTTTGCGAGAAGGAACCCGTAGAACCGAACTTGTGTTTGTTTTTGTCACGGGTTCGCTTTTAAGGGTACCTTCTTTCGAAAAATTAGCTGGTTTTATTCGAAAAATCCGAAGGTAAGCGCCCAAAAGTAAAATCGTTCTCTGAGCCAGTTTAAGGAGTAGTTAATCAATTCGAACAATCATTGTATCAAATAAATAAGAAAAATAATAATAATTACCAAAAGTACAAATTTGTTGTCACGAATTAATCCTTCCCTGATCCAGCATTCCTAGATAATGTTGCTTGAAGCAAGGTTTATTATCAATTTATATAGGCGTCAATTTTTTTCTTGGCAGTGTTTGTTCTGTTTTCTGCAGGTTTTCCCTGTCTTTGCACTGACTGCAATACGACAATCTACGTAAATTTGCCGCATATAAATCACACAAAGAAAAAACCTTGAAGGACAAAAGCGTATGAGAATAGACAGAAAGAGAAAAGCAGAAAATTCAATTGCAGTTTGTTCAAAGTTCCACAACTTTAAGAAAATAAATGCGGTCGCGCACAGCGAGTGTTTAGTCTTTCTGGATGTAGCTAAATTTTATGTAATAGCGCTTCTTTGATTTATATGTATAAGTTAGCCGCACTTTGCTTGGCTTTTATTTTATAACTGGACTAGCGATAACAATGGCGCGTGATTTATCTGGAGCTATTTTGCTTGGTTTTGCAGTTTTTGCAACTACAACTTTGTTAATTGTGAATTAAAATATATTCACTATTATTTATAATCCAAAGCAAATTGCAACTTGAAATGGTCACAGTCTGTGAGAGACTCTTCACACTAACAACCCTCAAAACTTCTTGCAACTCTCATTTAAAAATTCGTAACTTGGATACTTGGCCAAGTAAAACCTTGAAATTCACATGGACGATTCGAGACACTTTACTTTGATAACCAAGAATTTTCCATAAAAAAATCACGGAATTTCAATTTTTACCGGCTTTGGGGGCGGCAAAATAAGTCTTTTTTCAGGCGGCGATATTTGCTTTGAAAGTGTCTAACTTCCAATCTAGAGCAAGTCAGAACTTGAAATTTTCACAGTCTACAGTAGGAAGTTCACTCTAAAAGCCTTGAATTGATTTTAAATAATCGAAATAAGAGTTTTACCGGCTTGGTAACTGGCGATGAGAAAATTTATGTTTTTGCTGCGGACCGCATCTTCTTTGAAAATTCCGAACTTTGAATCTAGAGCAAGCAAGAACTTGAACCTCCCAAAGTCTAAAGCGGAAACTTTGCTTTAAAAATATTAAATATTTGATTCAAAACGCAGCAAGTCATTATTTTCACCAGATTGGTAATTGGCGGCGACAAAATAGACTTTTTCCAGTCCAGACTATTTTCTTTAATTTATAACTTCCAATCTAGTACAAGCAATAACTGGAAATTTCCACAATCTACAGGAGACGCTTCACTATAAAAACGTAGAATTTTTAGTTAAAAATAATCCAAACTTTTTTCCGGCTTGGTGACTGGCGGTGAGAAAGTTGATTTTTTCTGCAAACTGTACTCTGCTTTAAAAATTCCAGACTTTCAAGTTAGGGCAAGTAAGAACTTGAAATTTTCACAGTGGAGAATTTCGTTTGAAAATCTAGAACATTTTATTCAGATTGCAGCAAATTTTTACTTGATCGATAAATGCCGACGACCAAACAAATTTGTTCGCCGGGCTGCAGTATCTCCTTTAAAAATTAATAACTTCCAATCTGGAGCAAGTAAGAGCTCGAAATCCTCACATTCTATAGAATACACTTCACTCTCTAGAACCCTGGAATTTTTGATACAAACGGCACGAAATTCTGAATTTCACCAGCTTGGTAAAAGCTTGACGGAAAATTAAAGTGTCCTCGCGCCTGTAATCTATTCTTCAAAAATTCGTAACTTTAAGACTGCGTCAAGTAAGAACTTGAAATTTTTACACTCGGGAATACTTCATTGCAAACACTCTGGCATTTTCTTTCAAATTGCACTAATTCTTATTTATGTCGACTTCTTAAATGCCGGTGAACAATTTAATGTTTTCTCAAGAACGCATTCTCCGCTTAAAAAATTCTTAATTTTTTTAAGTAATAGTTTGACATTTTGGCAGTACAGAAGTACAGAGAGAAAACTTCACTCTCAAACCCTTGAAATTCTCATTCAAAACGAACTGAATCCTGATTTTTACCGGCTTGGTAAATTACGGCGACAATTTTTTTTTTTTCCGGTTGCACTCTCTCCTTTAAAAATCCGTAAGTTTGATGCTAAGACAAGTAAGGACTGAAAATGTTCGCACTCCATAGAAGACATTTCAAGCTAAACACCTTGATTTTTTTATTCGCATCAGTCAAAATTATGATTTTTTCCAGCTTGGTTTGCAGCAAAGTTTAAGCTTTTTGACGACTACACTTTCTCCTTTGAAATTTTCTAATATCGAACATAAGAGCTAGAATTTCTTACAGTGTACAGAAGATACTTGACTCTGCATATCTTGAATTTTCCAATCTAATACAACTCATTTCTGATTGGTTTTTGGCGACAACAATTAATGTTTTCTCAAGATTGAATTCTCCACTTCAAAAATTATAAATTTCCTTTCTACCGTAAGAAAGAACTTGAAATTTTCAAAGCTCGCTTTGGAATTAATTTATATTCGAACTACTTGAATTTTAATTTTTTTCCTGAGGAATTGCCGGTGATCAACTTGAAGTTTTCTGATGACTGCACTTTCTGCTCTGAAAATTCGTAACTTTGAAACTGAGACAAATTAGAACTTGAAATTCTCACGTACTAAAGAAGAGACTTTACTCTGAAATCAGTGAAATCTTCTTTCAAATCGCACGATTTTTTTTATTTTAGCTTGGTAAATACCGAGGGTTGATACCAAAATTGATGCTCACCACGGCACTGTCTTTTTTTTTATTCGTAATTTGTTATGTAAGCCAATTAAGAACTTAAAACTTTTGCAGTTAACAGAGAACACTTTGCTCTCACTACCTTGAAGTTTTCACTTAAATCGCACTGAATTCCGATTTTTCACAGCGTAATAAACAGAGGCGGTAATAAATGATGTTTCCGCACGACTGCACTAATTTGTTTAAAAATTCGTAACATCGAATCCATTGCAAGTAAGAACTTGCAATTCTCATATTCTACCTCATTAGTGCCTAAATTGCTTATTTAATCGAAGAATAAGCTCGGAATATTGCAAATCCCTGACATATAATTTCAAGTGGCTTATTTGATTTGATTTATTTAGATCAAATTGGATTTTCCAGACATGGAGTTGTTTGAGTGTCAGTTGAGGTAGTAGGTTGTATAGTACGTAATAATCTTAAGCAGTTACTGTGCAGCCTGCTAACTTTCCTGATCTCATTCCTTTACATCGGATCGACTCCAGCAGGCAGCAACCAACGAGGGATTTCAATCGTTTTGCTTTAAAAAATCTTATTTTATTACATACATTCCTCGAAAAGCCTGTTGTACTTTTAAGAGAACTTGTATGTTTATTTTAAATAAAGATACTGGCCTCAACCATTGCATATAGAATCGATAAGATAAATGTTGAATTTTAATGGTTTCAGGCAAATGGGACGTGCGAGGGAGCGAAGGAAGGAGTGTTCCCGACAGCAGCACATAGAAGAGCTTTGAAGAGAAGCGCTCAGGCCCATAATGCATCTTTTAAAAATTCACCCAATATGAAGAAAAAAATTCTTATTTAGTTAAGCAGAAACTTTGTCAATGTGTTCGAAAGTGAAAACTTTTTCAGTGCAAACTATGTGCGAAGAGCAAATTGCAATTCAAATTCAAACATTTAGATTCGAATTACAAGAACATTTTATAGAAGCGAACATTAAATAATGACCAATTAATAAAATGTTAAATAACTTCACTAAAATCAGATGATTTTTTCTAGAAGCATTAAGGGCTACCTCGTCTTCAGTTAACTCAGCAACAAACTGTATTTTTTGGCTAATTTTGTAAAAGCATTCTTAAAACGCGCACAAAAATGCGGCGTCGTACGAAAGATTTTGTTTTCTCGAATCGAGTAAATTACATAAATTATGCTTGAAAAATCGATTACACACCTGTACAACAAAATGTTTGGTAAACACTTTTACTTAAAAATGTATTGCAGAATTATATATTTTTTTACTTTTTAGGAGCTCCTGAGGTGGTTATTGGAGAGTTTTAACCACCGACTCCCTGAGACCCTAGCTTGTGACGTCTTTTGTACACTCACAAGTTTGAATCTCGGGATTGGGTGTTTAAAATACTACAGGGAGCCACGATAAAGCCGCCAAGTCTGCTCCATATTTTCTAAAAATTTGCAATTTTTCTTGCATCTAACTTCCATAATTTGCGTATATTTTCTGTATTTGTGAAGTAGCTTAGCGCAATGTTGTGTATGAAAAAATATATGAACTGAAAATAACTCGTTTTAATTATGTGGGGATTTCGCCGAACCTGCCCATTGTTACGTTGCCAAATCTTCAGGACTGAAAAGAAATTCGTTGATAGGTTATCGTCTCTGGGTCTTTGTCATTCAGTTGACGTCTGTGAAGCGAAATGATAACTGTTGGTGTTTGAAAATTTAATTTTCCTTAGTTGCATTTTCCGGTATATTAAGTGAAGAAAATATGGATTACTCTGTAGATTTAATACTCAAATATCCTCTTATTAATATAAAATCAACGGAGAAAAGTGACATTGTGCGTATACATGGAAAAATATATGTACATGTAAGTGTTCCTGTTTATGTTGGAGAACATTTAATTAACGATTTGAGGCAAACCTTTACTGTTAACTCTTCAATATTTTGAATGTCACGAATTATACATTTTCAATAAACTCGTATATTGAAAGTTCACTCAGGCCTCCTATGGGAACTGAGATAAACAACTGATTTAACTGTCTCGTAAAGATATTGATTCTATTCAAAGCATTTATTCATGATTCTCCACTAAACTTTTGACTTTTTTTCAATCACTAACTTATATATATCACAGGGTATACATTCAGAATTGCTCTGCATGCTACACATAAATTCACATTTCCTATATATTTATGGATTTTTCATGATTTTACTTTGTTAATAGCAGGCTTCCAAACAAAACAAGTCAGCTTATTGCAGTTATAAACACTCCCCTGCTCTCTCTCGAGTCTTTTCCAATCAATTCCACGACATATTAGAGCAGTTAGTGTTCCTCGAAAAGTGCCAGAATGTCTAATATGTTTAAGGGCTAATTACTTTTCTGGACTGAAACCCGAAACTTTGAAATACATCAAGTAAACTGCTCGGTGAAGCCCTCATACTTTTAAGCTGGTCTCAAATTTCCTAACCGTTTTGATCGACGTTTAAAGTTAAGTTTGATCTTGAAGCAGAATCAGAGTCTTATAACAGTTTTCCGTAGCATCACTTTCCAACGGTTTGCAGAGTTTTAGAAGCATTATTTTCAATTTCGTCGTCTCGGTTGCAAATGTATAAAGCCATATTTTGTAAACTTTTTATCATTAGCAAATACAAAAAGATTCAAAGAGAAGGGTTTATTACACCATTAAGTTAACGTCCTAATCCAAACTACTGGTTTTCCTAAGACAAAACGAATTTCAGACACTTTCTCTCTTAAGGCAAATTGAACTTTTTGTACTCTTGAATTCTGCTCTTGCTATTCTATGAAGGACCTTTTTAAAACTATTATAACTTATTGCAGCACAAATATTTCGCTGTTACTCTACACCAAATAACTCACCTTAACGGCGCACCGAAGTACAAACTGAAAAGTATAACTAACGTGAAATCTAAAAGCACTCTTTCAAAAATAAAAAATGCTTTAAGCACAGACGTTTTTCGCAACATTGTGGAAGTTTTGGACAAGATGAACGAAATTTTACTGCAAGATACTGATGTAAAACACCTGGAAGTCCACACAGATATTTACAGGAAAGTCATACATGAATACTCTGAGTTTGTGAAGTTCTTTTTAAACATAAGCACTTGTGAATTAAAGGAAGATCTTACAACGATCTGCGTTGCAGTAACAGGTAATAACTGAAAGTAGCTTGAATTTATCAATCTACTGTAGGTGCGACTTTTCCAGATAGTAAACCCAGGCTACACTCAGTAGAAATCGCAGTTGACTATTCGAAAAAGTCTTCTGATTTGTTTAGAATATCTGCAGCCGATTTACCCGAAAAAGATCAAGGTATGCTTTTTCGTACAACTTCAGAAGTTCTATGAAGACTATGTAATGGGAAATTGTAGCGATCCTCAAGGGAAACGAAAGTTTGATTGCCCTATTCGACACATTTATAGGGCAACTTGAGTTGTTGCAACCCTATTTTGAGCTGATGGAAACTCTGGATGAACACGCTACAATTTTAGATCCAGATAAACCTCGCAAATCTGATGCCTATAGAAGAATTTGGCTAGGTAGACTTTCCAGTAGTCAGTTAGCGCAGGATTTGTAAAACCTTTTATTTTAGGGGAAAACATTTCAACTATTATCACAGTAGATCCGTTTAATATATATGAAAGGCCTGATATAAAATTTTTGGGGCCTGATAGATTAATTGAATCGTTTAGCTCTAGTTTGAACGAGAATATAGGAAAATGGGTGTATCAAGAGAATATTTTCCAAGGGATACTTGACTTGTTAGGTAACTATATCCTCTGGAGATTTTAACGGAAGCACACGATAAGTTTTCTTTAGGTTTACAAGAGTTTCCCAAAAAAGATACTGCCACTAATCAAGTTAATTTGCTGGTGGAATTCGGAGAGTGCAGCATTTGCTTTTCTTTGAGACTGAACAACAAACTGCCGGAAATTATTTGCACCAATCAAAGCTGTGAAAAGCTGTACCATAACCAGTGTCTCTATGATGTAGGTATTCGGCAGCGTGTCGCAAATTCACTATTTTTCCTGGTTTATGCGCGTTTTAGTGGTTGGTCTCCTTACATGCTAAAAGAGTTTTCAACAACATATCGGGAAATTGTCCAAATTGTGAAAAGACCATTAGTTGCCCCCTCATGAATTAATACTTTCCATTCAGGTAAGTCTTTTTGGAAAACAGTGATAGTTTGCGGAATTATGAATCTACACGTGATTTGTGTAAATCTAATGCTTTTATCGGGATATACATGGTTTGATTGTAAAAAACAACAAATTAAAATAGGTTGTCTATTTGGAATAAGCGTATTGCCTCCATCATTTAACATTATAGAAATATTTATAACAAATATAAATTATAGTGGTCATATCACAAAAACTCACAGATGTTTTCACTCAAATATCCTCACTCAATGAACGTATTACATAATATTCGTAAATAATTGTATACAGAAAACACTCTAAGCATAAAGCAGGCAAAGCTGTCGAAATTGTTGGAAAAAAATGTCCCGTTATTGCGCTAATTTAAAATACATTGTCATGAATAGCAGAATAATCTAAAAGAGATTAGGATTATTTATTTTTTGGTACTGTTTAGTCACCATTATAATACTTGACATTCTTAGTCTTAATCTTCCTTTTAACGAAAATCCACCGTAACGAATACTTCCACGTCCTTATCCTTATAGCAATGGATCGGATTGTTAGGTAAATAAGAGAACAATTTTCTTCAATCGAATATGAACATTTGCCCCCTGCAAGTTATTGTCTTAAAAAACGGGTATCTGCTCATGATGGGTGTGAGACAAGTCATCGTCCAGGGTCAAAAGGACCATAAAAGTAAAAAACATGCCGATGGCACTGAGGAAATGCCAAATATCGTGATAGTCGTAGAAACGGAGCAGTTTGCACTCCACGTTGAAGGTGCGCGATTGAGCGGGTGTTTTCTAAAAAAAAAACAACACATTTTTTTTATAAAATTGCTAGAGAGGCAGATAAAATTGTTCACTTACCGACCACGATATGGCCTTGTGCAGGAAGAAGTACATTGCGGCTATTGCACACAGAGTTGAGATGCAGAAGAACATCCAAGTGACAATTCTCACGCTCTCTTTATGTAAATACTAAAAACACGAATGGAAGAATTGTTGGTTTTGCTCAGCTGATTTATTAACTAGGTAGCTTACCTTCATCAGTATATAGAAAAAGAAGTAAATCAGTGTGTTAGACATAAAGATCAAGAGAAGGAACACTGCGAAATTCTTGGGATGGTAAGCCAAGGCATAGGCGGCTAAAGCCCAATTGCACAAATTTCCCATTACCACCATGACAAAACGAGCTGAAATATACTTACATTATTATGCTAAAGCCTTTTAAATACATAGTGTATTAAACGCGTCTAAATATTACATAAATAAACCATTGACTTTATGGCAAATTGAAATGAAAAACTACCTTTATAACACGGTTTTAAGACATTGAGGGGACCGGCCCAGAAGTCATGCCTGATAATATGCCCAACTCGTCTCAGTGAAACACAACCTGTAAATGAGTCCTTGATAGTTAAATTTTTAATTAAAAAAATCACATACTTAGTTTCCAGCATCCCATGTAGTAGACTTTGATGCTGAGGTAAAAGCAAACTAGAATGTGCAATATCACAAAACACACCCAAAATTGGTCGGTATTTTCCAGTATTCCAATCATACCTTAAAAACGAATTGAAATCTACTTCGACTAAGTACAGCTAGGAAATTTTACCTAATACAATGGCTATTGCCAGCACACCAAAGGTGCTGTATGCATTCGCATTGATATCAGGGTGTCTGTTTTGGTACAGTTTTACCATGCATAAAACGGCCATTACGTACATGAAACTAGAATCTGCAATAAAAATAGTTAGGGTAGTTATGAATAGAAAATAGGACGCCAGAAATTACCAAATTGGAAATTCATTTGGCTGGGACACACATGGTAGCTACCACTCAGCACCCCTTCCATTATCAGTGCCACTCCCATAGCATAGAATAAACCATAGTGCTGAGGAATTCCATAGTGCTACAACAAATTCCATTATTAGTCATTTAAAGCCAATGAATATAAAAACACCTTGTTACTCTATCAAAGTCCTGGTCCTTGTGTGTGAGTTCTCTATGGTAAGTGATGATTAAAAACAATATCCCAAGCAGCACGTAGCCAATATTGGAGAAAACGTGGTTGAAATCGCTCAAAAATGACAAAGGATGGGCGCATAAGAAGTTATAGTAGCAAATGTCTTGTTCGCCTGTTTCATTCAGCACCTGAAATTGCTCTTGTTTAGAGAGTCTCATTAGCGACCAGCAAGCCAATAACTTACCCGTTGGTAAGTGATTACCAGCTGCACAACTGGCAAGCCATAAAATAGGGCAACGGTCAACACGTTGTACAAGTACAAATAACTTTTCTTGGCTAAAACCTACGAGTAGAAAAAACGTATAATTAGGCGCTCAAAGTAAAAGAAACCATCTCGCAAAAACGGTTAGAAATGTTTTGAAAGGGGCAAAATTGCAGAGTTTGGATTAAGCTTTTGAGTAAAAGACAGCACTTTGAATCCTTTTGACTCTTGCAGCAAAAAAATAAACAAAGGTTTTATTAGAACTTTGCCCCCTCAAATAATTTAAATCGTTTCTACGGGTGAAGATAACGATGGAAAGTCTTAGGCAGTTTCTTTTTTCAATATTTAATCAGATTTGTAATCTTTAAAGAAGTAGACAGAAGATACGAAAAAGCGTCTCTCAAAAACCGAGCACTGAAAAACTGTAATTTGTTCTCTCTCTTTCTACCTCTAAAAGTTAGAAGAAAAAATATGTTCACCGACCACTTGTTTTAGTCACAACAATAAAATGTTAGGAGGAACTACCTAGTCCTTAACGAAAGGCAAGTTCCGGTTAATTTGATTTTTTTTATTTTACATGGCCAATTTAGCAAACTTCCCTCATTGTGAGTTGGTTCATAAAGGGCTTGACGACCAGGGCGAATAATTTTCAAACGTTAAAAGGCCAGAAATTCATAGCTCGTAGATAAATATGTGCAGAACTTACTCTCGGGGGTTTTCTGGCCAAGTCGGTTAAACGTGGTTGACTCCTGCACAATCTAATCTCTCGGTCCTCTTGTATTTCTTGAATGTGATCATAATCCGTATCGTCCAACGACTGCGAGTCCAGGTTATTTGTACCTAAATTTTGCATTGTTACTTCTTTTCAAACAAAAATTCACCATTGTAAGTGTTAAGTGCGGATGCCGAAACATGCTCAAGCTTCAGCAGCTACAGATACATTTTCAATGCACAATAATTCAGTTTAAAGCGCCAATGTATTTACTAGATTTATATTAATGACATATTCTGTAGAGGGAAATTAAAATAGTAAGTGCGAAGAAAAGACCATAAATCCTTCGGTTTATATACTACATATTTTAGAGACTTTCTTTGCAGTATTTCTCAAAGCATTAGTTTTCCCTAGTCAATATCCTAACTACTCAATTAGTCTGAAAAGTGGTGTTATTTTTCAACCGATTAGACGGATTTCAAATAAAATTCAACCACAACAAACACCACACGTAGCAAATCGTTTGAAGCATTTAAATTCACTCCAAGACACAAAACAGAAAATTGAGCAAATTCAAATGTTCTTTTCAATACCTTCAGTGCCAACACATTCACTTCTGAGCTCATCAGGCAGCTTGATAATTCCTAAACAAATGCAACAAACCAGAACATAGAGCGCATACAAGGCAATAGCTAGACAAGGGTTACAAAACGAAGAAAATTAAAAAATATATAGGGTGTCTCAATATATAGACAGTGTGACTAGACCTGTATTAGCAGGCATTGAGTAAAAGGGTATTTCTATATATCCATATGTTGGCTGTAGAAAACGTGGAGTAAAAACACATTTTCTAACTAAAAGTGAACTTGAGAAAACTCATCTTATGATGATGATTCTTTTATCAAGAAACAAACATTTAAACCTTTACTGTATTTCGCAAACTTTGAAGGAACACTTAGGCAGGGAATAATTTTTTGGGCGAGTAGCTTGAGGACTCGAAAAATATTTACAGTACAAAAACGTATACTAAGGACTATCTACGGAATGTCTCCTTTGCAGTCTTGTCAGGGGGTTTTTAAATCAAAGGGTGTTTTAACTAAAGAGTATACGGTCTGTACATTTTTGAGGCAATATTATGTGTTTTTAAGAGTATGTATTTACACGATAACAACGTTAACCAGGAAACATTTTGTATCCAACACACAGACTAACACTGTCTGAAAAGAGTCCGTACTATATGGGTATAAAATTCTTTAATAAACTAGAAAACAACATTAAAAAAGTAAGAATTGAAAAATTGTTTAAGAATAAATTAAAACAGATGTTAATTGAGTTAGAGCCTTATAGTATTAGAGACTATTTAAATATGTAACAACAGTACCTTTTGGTATATGTCCTTTGTCAATTGTTTTTTAACGCCATTTCAGTTTGTATTCTTTATACATGTGCATGTATCAAAATGTAATTTGAAATAAAGACATAAATAAAATAAAAAATTTAAAAAAATACTTTATTACATCGTTACCTTCATTTTTGTGAAAAAGCTTTACGAATACAGTACATTACATTTTTTTTCGTTATTTACTGATAAAAATGATTAAAAGCATACAAAGTCTGGTAGTATTATACGGGGTGATATTGTTTCTGGGGCCAAGTCACTTCAACCATCAGGAGCAAAGACATATTTTGGAGTTATTTACACAAATGTCTGTAAAAGGACACGCTTTTTCTATGCAAAGCGCACTTAAAATCAGGTATTTTTTTAATTATTTTCCAAATAACTTGCAAAAAACATAAGAGAACGAAACGTTTTTAAATAGAATATTGAATTCAAATTTTAGTTAAATACGCGATTGACTCGTGGGGAACGATTCATCTTGTAGTTTCGGGAAATTGTGAAGAGTTATCAGCGTTGACGGACAATATTTCCAAACCTTAAGCGCCTTGTATTTCGATAACGAAGCCTTATTCCAACATAGTTTATAGATACTTTGTTCTCGCGCAGAAACATTGGGAAAATGTTTGTTTTGTTGTATGTGTGTTGTGTTGTAGGTCTTAAGTGTCTTAGAATGATTCTTACTTACTAGAATTCAAAGAAGCAGTAGCAGTTCCATTCTCCGCAGCATATTCCATCTGACGAGGCACATAATATTGTCTGGAGAAGAGGAAGAACGACACTCCAAAGATTATGTAGAAAGCCCCTAACAAGCAAAATAATCACGACTGAATTAATACCGGGGTGATCGAGTACTTACCAATTGCAGATAACGTGATCATAACAGCATACACATAATCGTTGTAAGTAATACTGGGTTTTATAACCAGGGATAGCTTCTTAACCCGATCGCCAGACACTGAGGGACTCAGGTCCTTTGTGCAGACGTAATCGTCCGCTTTGGCCACAAATACTATGTAGAACCCGTAAGGAAATTTGTATTTCTGAAACAAGCAAAGTCAATGGAAATCAAATATTGCTGGTAAAGTCATACATTGACAATTTATAACAGTTTTTACAAAAAATGGACAACCAAAATGCGCCAGGAAACCTATCAGTGCCCTATAAGAAACTATCAGACGAAGCGGCGTTACTGCCTAGACCAAGCATACTTCTACCGCACTTGCAAGAATCGGAGAAAAAGTTCTTTGAACTAGTGGCTTCGGGGGATGTTTTGGCCGTGCAAGAGTATCTAGCAAAAAATCCAAACTTTAACATCAACTGCGTGAACTTCCAAGGCGTGTCTGCTCTGTTAATAGCGGTGCAAAACCACATGGAAACCATGGTGGAATATCTGCTCAGCCAGCCTGGGATTGATATAGGCGACTGTATTCTACATGCTGTGAAGGACAATCAAAGGAAAATTCTAGAGGCTTTGCTGCAGAAGATAAGCGAAATTGCGCCCAGCCTGGAGTTTGTTGGGGTAACACACAGCACAGATTTTCCTGACTATGTCACGCCCTTAATACTAGCGGCTCAATGTGGTCACTATGAGATTATAGAGCTGCTGATCCAACGGGGCCATACAATCAGCAAACCCCATCCGCCTAGTTGTAGATGTGCAGACTGTCGGGTTCATTTGGAGCGCGACGATCTTCTACACGCGGAGAGCCTGCGACTGAATTTATATCGAGCAGTGTCTAATCCTGCTTACATTTGCCACTCCACCCATGACCCAATTCTGGTCGCCTTCCAGTTGGGCAACGAGCTAAAGGAGTGCTCAAGCATCGTTCCAGAATTTCGCGTAGCTTACGCAGAGCTTTCTGTTGAAATTAGCAACTTTGCTGTTGATCTGATTGCATGCTGCAGAAGCACCAGTGAAATGGAGTTGATCCTCAAACAATCCGCTGGAATGAGTTCTCGCATTTACAGCCTGCCCCGATTGGCTTTGGCCATGGATTACAAGCAGAAAACCTTTGTAGCTCATCCGAACACGCAGCAGATTGTTGAAGCCACTTGGAATGGCGACTGGCACGAGTACAAGCTTAAATCGCACTTTGTGCTTTATTTATTGCCAGTTATTCGCATTTGTGCGCTTCCCATTGTGGCCCTGATGTGCTTGGCGATGCCCAATCACTCCCTCACCAAGCACTGGAGCATTCCTTTGAACAAGATGATCAGTCACATTGCGGCCTATCTGGTGTTTCTTGTGATAATATTCCTGGAATCCAACATGGATAAAGCTGGGCAAAAAAGGCAGCCACCCAACTCCGGGTTGGAAATTGTCATTATGGTGTTTGTGGCTGGGAATATTTGGAGCAACTTTAGAATGCTGCTCCTTATTGGCCCGAAAACCTACTTTAAGAAGCTCTGGAATTGGCACGCTGTGATCAATAACGCCTTGTTCCTGTTGACTTTCCTGTTTTGGATGGCATCGTATTTCGATGCCATTAATAACGACCAGGTCGATCTGGAGCGGAAATACTGGCACCATCTGGATCCGTTACTAATCGCCGAAGGCACCTTTGCGGTCGCAGTAATCATGGCATTTTTCAAGCTGCTCTTTTTCTGCAAATTAAACTACTATCTAGGCCCGTTGCAAATCTCCCTGGGTAAAATGTGCGCAGACATGGCAAAGTACTTCACAATCTTCACGATTATAATCATTTCCTTCAGTGCCGGGTTGTGTCGATTCTATCAGTATTACGATGGCATGGTTCAGATCGACGAAAACGAAATGAAGACTCAACAAGTCTCGTCATTTGTCGACCTTAGTTCCACTTTAAAGACCTTCTTTTGGGCCATTCTTTGCATGGCCCCGTTGGAGAGCGCCAATGTGATAATCGAAAACCTTCCTGGAGAAACGCCGAAAACCACAATCATTAACAAGCACACATTCACAGAAGCTGTAGGCTATATATGTTTTGCACTGTTTGAAGTGCTGATAGTGATCATGATACTGAACATGCTCATAGCTACGATGTCCTCCACCTTTCAAAGAGTGCTGGATAATTTGGACGTCGAATGGACCTTTGGAAAAACTGACTTCTATATAGAATATATGCTGCAAACGACTACGCCTTCGCCATTCAACTTGATTCCCACCCCAGCAGGAGTGACGATGTTTATGGAAATGATGAACGGAACGAGAACGGCTGGAAACACTGAGATGGCAGGCGGCTGTTGCCAGAGATCTCCAGCAGGGAAGAAGAACGCGATGAATCGGCAAGACAATGAAATGGAATACCCGGCTTTAATGTCGTTGCTGGTCCAGCGATACTTTAGGGAAAAGGATGAAGCCAACCAAGCGGCAAGCGAGATGGATTTACTGCGGCAGGAAATCCATGAACTGAAGGCTTTGCTGAATGATATCATAGCGGAAAAGGAGGATTGACTTAGTTTTGTCCGTTTATATTAGGACTAATTATACATATTGTGTTTTTATTTTATTTGATCGGTCTTTAATGGTTTTATTGAGCTCTAAGATTAGTTGAAAGTTCAGCAGCAAAGGACTTAGGGAATTTGAAGGCAAACTTTAAAACAAATCATTGTCTGTGCTACCTTATAACAATGCAGCGTATTGAAAGCAGTAGCGGTTCCTCAATAAGTGCACATGTTACACGGGCACTATCAAATTTTCAATGCCTATTATCCCAAAAAACATTTAAGCTTTATTCTTCTTGAAACAATTTCTTCATTATTCCAAAAAACAATTCGTCAACAACGCAAGCAACAGAAATTAAGAAGTTATTGAAATGAAAAAAATATCAAAGAATTGTAAATTACAGCGGCAAAAGCGTCGGCTTTAGGTCGACTTTTCAACTGCGAGTTCATGCCGTCTTAAATTGCAATGTTTTCAAGCTATTGTATCAAACATTGTCGCTTCCCAAGTAACAACCGTTGTTTAATACGTTTAGATCTTCCTAAAAACGTGATTTTCAAACGGATTTTTCGCTTTTTTTAATTGAATACCAGATTCGATCAGTATTAGCGAATAATCGCCTGTTTACCTTTATTCTTAGACTTTTTTTTTAATGTAGTTTTCTGGTCGGTTTGGGTTAGTTTATGATCGATTAAACCTGTATTTTCGCGAAAATAAAATTTAACAAACTACCAAAAATGGAAAATAAGCAAATTATTTTAACATGAGACGAAATTATATTACCTGCATAAAAGCGCCGGATGTTCGAGAATGGCAAAATAATGTAGATTTGATTAGTAAAAACATATTTTCGGGTTGCAGGCTCTGATAGGCCTGATAGGATTTTCGGATTGCAGGCTTTGGAAGCTCTTCTGTTTATATAAAAAAGTGCCTTATTATCGTCCCTAAAAACTTTTGTTGAAATTATTAAATTTCGTTTGGTTTAAAAAATTCCGTACTCGTAATGGGCACGAGGTAGAGAGTTGAGTTTTGGAGCATGAAAGAAATGTATTCAAACAAGCGCATTACTATCGTTCCTAAAAAAATATTAGCAAATCCGGTCTTTAACTTTGGACAAGCTGCATTTCTTCAAGATCTGTTTAAAACATTCGGCAGAAGTAGAGAGTTGAGTTTTCTCAACATGATAGAGAAAATCGGCGTCTGTTTGAATTCAAAAAGGGCGTGATTATCGTGCCTAGAAAAAAAGTTTAAAATTCTCCAATTCGGTTGTAGTACAAAGTACAGCGTTGTGTTTTTGGACCAATGGAAAAATTCGCTTCTGTTTATGTTCGAAAAAGCGCGTAATTGGAAAAATATGCAACTCGATCTTTGTGTTAATCCGGGCGGTGTTTCTACAAGCTCTGTTTTAAAAAATGCGCTTATTTTCCTAATCGAAACGGCGCGTTGTTATGATAAAAAATATTTATATTTATATTTAAAAAATGCGAAAACTATGTTTGAAATTGTCGATATTTAAATCTACTGCACTGGCCTTAGTTGAAGCCCCGAATATTAACTGAACACCTAGTATACATTAGCGTTTTTATGCACCGGGAAAGCTTTATTTACCTGTTTTTTCTGATGTTCGCACACCAGGCATAAATCAATCACACCAAGACATTTGAATACTTTAAATACTCACTGGAATTGTGATACCTCCTTTGGTGGTAAACGTCTCATAAAACCCTCTGAACGTTATATCTTGATTTAAGTCGAAAACTGGACACTAAAAAGGGAAAAGGATCAGCAACGAAAGAGCTTCCAAGTGAAATTTGCGCAACTTACACTAACATTCTGGATGCTGACAATTGTACATATTGTATCCAGTGAAAGAACTTCCAAAATAACAGTATCGTAATTCGATTCTCTGACTTCGGTGCTGGTCAAGTTTGTTGGGATCGAAAAATTGTAAAAAAAATACCTAAATCGGCTTTGTTGTTAACAGTTTAGGATAATTATGAACTCACTGAGGCTCACTAGGGCTAATTTGGATCGAGTAGTTCGTACTGTGCTCCAGTAGAAACTCATTTGGAAAGTCCACCGTGACTGTAAAATCAATGCTCGTAAGGGAGGATGTGGCAAGTGAAACGATTGGATTTTCATGCTGTAGCTGCTTAAATCCTGGAAATAATAATGATACTGTTACACGCAAACACGCGAAAAATGATGTGATTATATGAAGTAACTTGCCTTGAATTTTATTGTGATTTAAAATATCGAAGCACAAGGTCCTGGAGCTGTTTTTGTAAACTTCTTCCCCAGTCTCTGTCTCTACAGAGAGTGGTAACTTCCAAGATAGCAACTCTTTCGGCTGTCTTGTAGTAACCATAAGTGGAGCGACTGTAGTCGCATCCTTTGTAGTTACAGTGACTCGAGGTGGAACGAACACCTAAACAACAACATACTGTGTTTTATCTTTATTTGCGATTTAAAACGGGACAGGAATCTGTTTATTGCCTTACACGGATGTTTTTGTGAATGAAATTCGGTTACAGAACGGTTCGAACCGAACAACAATTCGGTGTGAAAAAACACAATGTACTTAAAACAAGAAGTGAAGAAAAAACTGTTAAGGAAAACACATTCTCTTATAACGCACTCGATGACTAATTGTGGATTTTCAAATGCATTTGAACCTTCTCAACAAATATGGTACAAATGATACAAATTTTAAATGAATAAAGGCAGTTGGGAAGGAAAATAAATGACCATGTTGTGCCATTTGAAATAGTCTGGGACTAATCAATTAAAGATAAATCATTAATATACAATTAAACTCGATAGCATGAGTTTATATAATATAGCTTGAAGTTTAGTTGATTACTTGATGCCACATATTTTATCAGTTGATTCCACAACAAAAGGAAATAGGTCTTGCCTACGATGTATCTATAAAGTGAACCATTGACTGGCTATCACATAATAAAAAAATTAGTATAGTTGGTTGACGTGTTATCAATGAATTTATTTCATAGAAATAGGAAGTGTGTCCTGCACAAATTCTCAGAAAAAATGCTCCAGTTAATAAATATTTATCTAGCCAAAAACTTGTGATTATTTAATCTCCAAGATATAAGGTAGTTCTCTTCGCTAATCAAACATGGGTTTGAATCTTCAGAATCACGAGCACACCCTGGTAAATCCTCCTTATCGGATAATTAACATCAAACATCTGCAACTATGTATTTTAAATGTATGAAAACGCATGCAAATTATCCACTGCACTGCTAATGTATTCGGGTTTATCCGTAGCATTTAGAACACCGTTTTTTGCACTTGCGTTAGTTTTTTTTCAGATTCTTTACCTCTTGAATAAAACAAAATTGTCATACCTTATATGAGTTGTAGTTGGAAAATTCAAAAATGTACTCTAGCGAATTATTAATCAATCCCTGATAGGGGACCGAGTAATTAGCTGAAATGATTATAGATTGATTTAAAAACACTGAGTTCGACCCCCCAAATAGCGCAAAAAGTAAAATAAGATACATTTTGGCACTGGCCTTTGGTGAGCAATAACCAGCTCCTACTGCAGACCTTTCACACTATGCACTTTTAAAAATCCCCTTACACTATCACTTATCGCCCGACACTAAGCTGTTTCTATAACATTTCGAAATATATGATGGTTTTGCTATTTATGGGTTTTTCCCTTGTACTTGCTATCATAATAAAAAAATAGGTTATGTTGGGATTTTCAAGATTTAGCTATTGACTAGTGACGTCAGCACGCTTTAAACTAGCTGCAGGACTAGTCCACAAAGTATCCCCCCTATGGGTGTATGTTCTGTGGACTAGTCTGTCTTTATCTAGGGACTAGGAATTGACGTTAAAGTAAACATACAAATAACTGCTTTTAAAACCCCAAAATCATGTTAGAAACGGTCTTTTTATACAATTTAACAATTAGTTAAATATATTAAATATAATGTACATTTTCTACACGTCCAGTCAGTTCACATCAGATTTTTTAAATATTGCCCTAAAGGTAATGAGAACATTTAAATTTATCACAATGAACAAATTTCAACTAAACAGTAACATGTCGATGTCGTTGCATTAATTTCCATTATAAATTTGTTGTAGGCATATAGTTTTCCCTCTTGGTGAAGGCAGTAGTGAAATCACCCGAATTATAACTTGGAGGATCGAAACTGTTCAAAGCTTCCCACTCAAGATCGCTTTGTTCGAAGTGATACAGCCTGGCAACGTCCCTACGAAGTCTGTTCATTCTACGCCGCTTTGCCATGCAATAGACCTGTACAGATGAGCTCAAATACAATCAATATTTCAACTGGTCCGTCAACTATTCAACTTACAAGTAATGTTAAAATCATTACTAAAGCTATAACAACTAGGGGCACTATTAGATACTTTGAGTCGTCGGCAACGAATGGAGGTCTCACTGTGGTAGTCACATTTGATTGCTTTATAAGACTTTCTGGATTTAACATGGTCACGTAACCTGGTGATTTTCATTTTTAGCTAGAGAGCAACTTATCGGTCGATGACTAAAAGGTAATTTTGTCCAATTAATTGAACTCTATAGCATTGTTACAGTCATTTGCTTTTAAAAATCTAATCGTTCCAAATCCTGCTTTCAATCAAAACATAACAAAAACAACAATCCGCTGTCACTGTCAAGTGTCATCGTGCTAAAGCACCTCTGAAGCTAGACGCAAGCAAATAAGGCAACGTGGCTGTAGCCTTAGGTTTCAAATATTCAGTTAAGAAAATTAATTTTATTGTTATTCAGCTTCTGAATCATTACTAGAGCAAACGGCTAGGCCAGTTTTTGTTGCGCAATTAGACAAATACATATATTTATAAAAACACTAACATTTGAAGTAATCGTTCACTAAATATTATTGTTTTTTTAATTGGTAAGTTGTTTTGGGGAGTCGGTCTGGGCAGTAGGATAAAAAATTAGAAACGCTTTTTATCTACCAAATTTCAGTTGCTGGTGTATCGGTGAAGAAATTATCTCTTAATTTTATTCCTATTTATTTAGGAGCAACTGGCCCACAAGTTATTTGCGTTGTGTTGCACTGAGAATAACACAGAATCAAAAAATTTATGTATATTAAGTACCACCTCTTACATTACAAAACTTACGTAAAACAAGCAAAATTGTGTACAAAAACTCGGCCCTTGTGGTGCGCGCTGAAAAAGTACCATATCAGCCGCTCATTAAAATTACTTCATAACGGGTAAGCCCAAAATCTAACATTTGATGCTCATTGATTTTGGTGCAAATGGCTTATTCTCAATGCAGACTTTCCTACTTGAGTCAATAAATTTGTTCTTGAGCAGAAATATGAATAACTTTATCAGTGTTTAGTGGGCGATTCTTGCCTTAACTTCTCAACATCATTGAATATAACTTGAGCTCCACCCCCACAAGTGGGCACTATATCAGCTTTGTACAGTTTAGTCTCCAGTTCACCATCAGTGTCAGGTTCTTGTGCTAATAAGCAGTATTTACTTTGCTTCGGATTGGTCACATCGCTGGCTTTGTCCAATTTGGAAACCGATTTTCTTTTCTTCATTGTAGGCTGCATTACAGTGTCCAATGGACATGGTTTGATCACGTTGTGTTCAAGCCACACATCACCTGAAAATAAAAATAGTATGCATTTAATCTCGACTCGATCAGTTAAACCTTGTCAAACTTACCAGCCGATTTCGATCTTCGTTTTCGTGGAGCAGACGCATCATTCATGTTTCTTCTATGGAAGTGTGAGTTACTTTTTAACGACTGAGGGGTTTGGGAGCCCAACGATTTGATTACATGTTCTTCTTCCAACTCGATCGCCTGAAATTCAACCGGAGGCAATTCGCTATCGAGAATTCCTTTGACCATTCTCAGTTTATCATCTTTTGCTTTCATAGCAGCGTTCAGATGATCTCGTTGTCTCCTCAGTTTATAATCCAGTTCCTGGGTCATTTTTTCATTTGCCATAACTAAGAAGATATATCATGGTAAACCAAAAGATGTTATACTTAGCCTTAGGAAAGTCTACTACATTTGATAGTAAATTGAGTGGAAGTTTTAACTCTGATAAAAGAGGCTCGATTTCAAAAACATAAGCAAAATTTATAATTTCGTTTGTCCGTAAGTATGTTTTGTGAATAAATTGTACTTTTAGGAAGCCCACTTTTTTGTAAGTGTTTTACTGCAAGCAATATTTTAAGTATCGCTTATACTTTTCGAGTAGATAAATTGTGATACAGCTATAATTATAGTCACTGTGGTCAGTGGCGGCGCGTGGTTTAATATTATAGGGGTGCGCTCTATTAGAAAACATGCCGATCCGAAAGATCTCATGTAAACGGCTGCGGTTCATCATAGATCAATGTTTGTAAATGCTAATTTAATATTCATTTGGCTTATGTAGGCTTCAGATTTGGTTCACTTTTGTTTTCCTGCTGTTTATTGGCAAATTTCTAGTAAAAATGACAATCCTTACCCAACTGCTTTTTCGTTCTTTGCTTCTCCAATTGATGTTGATTGATTTTCAAATCCTTTTCATTAATCGCATTTTTCAAGGTTTGTATTATATCATGTAGTTCTTCATTTTTACCCTGCATATCTCGATTTCCGAATTCCAAGTCAGTCATTTTCAAATGCACGTTTCTTAACTGCTGTTTCTCCTGAAAAACCCCAATTATGTATTACTGATCAGTCGCAATATCTGCAAACTAATTTTTACCTTATGGATTACACCCTTTAAGCTTTTAATTTCAGCGCTATTGAGCACAGACTGTTCATTTAAAGAGACTAGCCGTTTTCTTAATTCCTTCTGCTTGTCCTCAATCTCTTTGTCCAGACTATTTCCTTTAGATTCCCTCAATTTTATGGTCTTCATTACTTTTTGAATGGCTGAACGACATTCATCTAATTCATCAAAGTTAAATTTAACAACAGGGATTTGCGGCAATAAAGTGAAAGACGAGGCAGTTTTTAGCCTGGCCGGGGTTTTGTTTTCGGCTGCTTTACTTATTGCGACTCGCTGAACGGAAGGCGTGTATCTATTAACTTCGGGTTTGACTACCTTGATTTCTTGGGACATTTCGGCAAATTTGAGAACCTGCAACAGAACACAATCCGACTAAGTATTCCAGTACGCCGCTGCTTAAAACGCATGTTCTTACATGAAGATTCTCTTCGTAGTCTTCCGCCGATGGGTTAATGCACACTATCATTTTCACAGTGCCATCTCCTTCAAAATAATGCTTGAACAAGAAGGTTAATCTACTATCCCGATATGGAACCAACTTATTCGTTTTGTTTGTCTGATTCTCCCTCAACATTTCAAAGCAAGTCCTTAAAGACATCAGGGAATTATTGATGCTGCTCGCCTCTTTCAGCCTCATTCCTGTGTTGTTCGTTCTATTGGTTCTCTCAGATCCAGCCAAATCGACGAAACTTAGCTGACCTACCGCAATTTTGTTTTCATTTGGAACCATTGCTTGGCCATTTTCATTATACGTAATTTGCTCCAACTGGACCACTCTTATATTAAATATGGAGTGACTCCTACTTGAGCCCTCATTCAATGTAGTTGAAGCCATCTTTTTTCGGTTTTGTCCCGCATTGAATAAGCTGAAAGCTTCTTCTGCCGATTTAACCTGAATGGAAAATAAAATGAGTTAGTAGTCGGAAGCAAACATCAAGCAGTACCATTTACCTCTACTTCTACAACGCCATTAACATACATGTTTTTCCGACTATCTTCCCGCAGCATTTTGTTTTGAAGGCTTTTTCCTGAGGATTCATCTAGCAAATCATAGACACCATTGTTGTAAATCTCCACATAGCTCACAAATACTGAATATAAGCTGTTTTTGTTAACGTTGTGAATTACGGTTCCATCATTCTCGTACAATTTATCAAAACTTCCTTTTCTGAAAACGTGTATTCATTAATGATACAGCCACTATCTGAAATATTTTGCATACAAAAAGTTATTTTTCAATGTCTTTCCCAGTTTCACGCGGACTTGGTAGAAATGGGAACAATGAATTATCGAGAACAATTAAAGAACACCACTGGTTCATAACTGTACTACTGAATTGAGGATTAAGATCCCCCTGTTCGGACAATTCATTCGTTTTTTTTTTATTTTAAGGAAAAAAGGGCAATTTTTGCTTGATGAATTTAAAAACCGAAATTTTAACCAGCGGATTACTAAATTTAAGTAGCATTTTGGGCAAGAATGTAACACCTGATAATAAATTAATAAATGAAGATAAAAACCATACCTTTGAAGTTTTGGGTTAGTCATAGTCCTTTTCAGGTTCAGTTGTTCAGAAAAGGCCTCATCTTCGGTTTGTATCTCAAACCCATTCATTTTATCTGACTTAATCACATATTTCGGCGCTTGATAATCACCAATGGAATTAAACAGTGTATCAATGCACCTGGGCATAATGCCCGGATCATTTTGCTTTCCAGTCAGAGTGTATGTTTTGCCCGATCCCGTAACGCCATAAGTAAACAAAAGACCATTCTTGCCATTCAGAAGGTCCTCTAAAAGGGGGTACGCGACGTGAGTGACCACCTCTGACTGGGTCGAGTACGAAGTGAAAATGTGCTTAAATATGTAATGGGTTTCCTTTCTGACTGCCTTGGATTCCGGAGTCTTAAGACACAATGTGTCAGCTGCTAGTACTTTGATGCAAGTGTTTTCTGCACCTTCCATTAGGGGCTTAATTCGACAGTAAACTTGCACCGGGTGCTTCTCAGTGTCCGAGTTATTCGACATCGTAGTTTTTTCTCTTCGCAGCTTTTTAGCACTCGGAGTATTAAACCTACTTGGATTCATCGTGAATTCTGGCTAATCCGGCAGGTTTTAACACTATAACGACCAGTACACACAGTCTTTGAATTTAAACGATTAACGGACGAAAATCAACTCGAAGAATAACAGACGTCAAGTCTAGTGTCAACGCGTCAGCGGTCAAAATCCATCGAGCTGAAAACTGGTCTGTCGATGGGAGATTTGTAGGTTTTTCCCAATGAAATGGTCGTGTTTGGACTTTTTCTTATAGCCGGTTTTTAATTTGATCTTTTTATGTTTGTAAAAGAACATTAAAATGTTAAGAATAAACAAAACACAACTAAAATGACTTGGACGTAGAAGAAGAATCCGTCAAAATCAGCGCCATCTAAAGTTCAAGAAACGTAGTGTCTCATCTGTTTTTCGGGCGGTGTCATTTTCCACAAGAAATGTAAGATTTTCAAGAAAATACAGTGATTTTTCCAAATATTATGTTAGTAGTTCAGCAGCCTAAGAATCAGTGCTTCTCTGGGTTATGGTTTCAGGTACCTGCATAGCGTCGATTTGCGACAAACTGCCGACATTTTAGAATGCGTTTTAGTTTATTTTTTACAAAAAATACCCATTTATAATGATTTACGGGATGTGCCAGCTTTGCCGGCTATCAAATCGATAATGCCCCGTGGGCTTGTGCAAATTGTCCCATTCCTCAATGCCTTAACATGACCAGAAGTTGGTTAATTGATTTTAATCCATCACCTCCATAATCCCTTTGGAAACTGTAGTCAGTGGTGCGATGTTCAAAATAGCAAAATAGTCAACGAAATTCCCACCGGTTGTTATCAATCCGTTTCTAAGTGAAAATAAATAGACTCAATTTACAAGGGGGCAAAAACAGGTTTAAGAACATGTTCAATTATTTCCACACTTTCACATTTCTACCACAGTATAATGTACCTATAAGGTTAATGGGAAACACTAATTTATTTTTGTTAGGAATAACATTTGTACAAAGGATCCGTTAATGTTTTCAGAAAGAAGTAGTTTTTGGCCTAATTTTATGGGTCTGAACCACAGAACAGTCACCCCATTTGTTCTAAGGTCTGAACTCTAAACAGGTTTTTTTGGTCAGCTCAGCTGATTTGTATAAGTTAAAATTACCTAGAATCTAGAAATATTGTCAACATATATTGGAAGGTGATTCTAGGCATTCAAATAATGATAAAAGGTCGAATAAACGTTTCCCAAAAATTGCATCTTAAAGGGACTGAAACCCTTGAAGGCTGAACCCTGGGCATGGCTTTTTTGCAATATTTTCCAAAGGGTTTGGCGTGTCTCATTTCTGTGAGTCCTAACTTTTTCAAGTTTCCACATATTCTTATACACATAAGAATACCAGCGATATTAAACGGCAACGTTTCTACAGTATTTCCCCTCAATGGCAAAACGTTATCAGTTTTGAAACCTTTTCGAAATCAGATTTTGGATAAAACACAGCCCCATTTATTGTCATTAGACATATGTATACCATCACCTTCACCTTCCTGATCGATCTTTATCACTAGAAGTGTGTTTAGTACCTACATGATAATTTAATTATTCTCTATTAGGTGTTGGTGCCAGTTTATCTATTAATATATGCAATTAATTTTCAGGACGTCATGCAACTGCAATGAGATTGTAACGCATCTCAACTCCAGTCGAATTGTGATAAAAGTCCCAATTTAGTAGATTTTCCTAGAAATAGAACCCGTAAAGACTGTCAAATCTAGCCCGAAATTCATAGTCAAGTAATATAGTTAATCAATTGGTGCTCAGTAGGTTATAAGAAACAAACTATTAGTAAAAGCAAATATACTATATTAGATTAAGCTTATTTAAACCGTTTAAGGTATATCTCAATCTCTTGATAATTGCATTCAAAAAGCTTGCCTATCAATCAAGTAACTAAACGAAGCGACACTTTAGTTTTCATTCTGGACCTAGAATTAAAAAAGAGACTGTTAGGATACACTCACAATGCTAACTGTAAGTCAAAGAGATTCAGTGGAGTATTGAGAGCGCCTTGGTGCAGCGCCTGTCATCCCGAAAAGAAGGAAATCACGGGACAGTCTTGCCCTAAGCTTCATCAAGGATCGTAAGTATTTATATAAATCCGTTTTATAGCGTTACACCCTTTGGGGTTTACGTTTGCCAGGTTTGTCTGTTTTGCCAGTCATCCTCTGAGAGGTTTCTGGCTGATATCGCGTTTGTAAGCCTTTGTATCCAGGTTTTTGACGGTCTTTCTGAGAGTATTCACACCAATAGTTTCATCGGCAGTCCTTCCCTCATACGTCTTACATGTTCATACCATGGTAATAGCTGTTTTTCAATGTGTTCTACGATTGTTCTTTTTACTTTTATTTATTTTCTTATGTTCTCATTTTTCACATGTTCTAATCCAGATTTTCCCGGCGCTCTTCTCCAAAAGTCTTTGCCATACATAACAACTGTTATCAGCATGGTATCATATATTCTTGCTTGTTGCCTCTGGTTTTATGTTTTTGTTCCATTGACTTTAATGCCCCTACCACTTGTTTCCCTATGATTATTCTGTCCTTCATAGCTTCCTCAGTTGGTCCTGTCTTTGTCATTTTTACTTCCAAATATTAATCATCCTTTCGTACTTTTTGATGTTCTAGATCCAGGTCATATGCTGGTTCTTTCCCAATACACAGATATTGGGGTTTTTTTATCTACCTATAGCCCCCATTTTTGTATTCTGTTATATGCTTTCTGGGCATATACTTTAAGTCTTCCTTGTAATCGAACGTAGTAGTGCATATAGTGTAATGTATATGATGTGGAATCTGTGATATTCAGTCGCATTCCCTTACTTCACTTACTTTTTTCCATTGTTCTTTCTATTCCAAGAGAATATGTACTTTTTGAAATTCACTATTATTTTCTCCATTAATTGTGTTAGGCAGAATATGCTATCATTTGTTAATCGCCCTGTTCTAAAGCTGTTATGTTCTTCCGATTCAAAAGAGCGATATTCTTCGCTTATACGTTCTTTTATAACTCAGTTATAAAAGGCTACAGTTTTGCCCCGATAGTTCTTGCAGTCTTCTTTGCTTTCCTTCTTATGTATGGACGTTATCCAGCCTTCTTTCCAACTTTGCGGTAGTGATTCTCCCTGTAAGGATCTGTTTAATTTTTGAATAGTGGTATTCTAAGTTAATTATTGCTGGCTCTCCTTGAACCAGTACTTCGTGTTGATGAATTGTATTGTATTCCAGTCTTTTTCTACTGGTAATTTTTTATAGTAACTTGCATCTTACTGATTTCTTATTCGGATCATTAATACCGACGAAATCCTTGTCTTTTTATAGTGTTTTTCCAATTTTTCAGGGCCTATAGAGTTTATTATTACTTCATTTTTTGTTGGATTTCATATCTTTTATAAACCTCCAGGTTTATTTTGATTTTATTACACCAATTTGTGATTCCACCAACTCTTGATTTTGTTTTTTTCTTTTTTGCAGCGTATCTTGCCACCAATAATTCTTCTTTCTGGGTCTGCTTTTCTTTATACCCAAGGCTTCTTTGGCTGCTTAGTGCATTCCTTTGGTTATTATTTTAATTAGGCTTCCAGTTGTTTCATGACTATATTCTTGTGGTAGTTGTTGGTCTAACCATTGCGTATAAAGTTGTCTTGTACCTGTTCCACTTTTTCCATTTTGTAGGTGTTTATGAGATGGTATTCACTCCACATTCGGCCCCTCGAATTACATTGCAATACACATTGTTTCATTATTACATAATCGATAATTGATCTTGGATTTCTGGTAGTTTGGGTCTATTATGTGTGAAATAGCCATTCATCAGCTTCAATGATTTATTGCGCTCTACCCATATGACCTTTTGTTTTACCTATTATTGCATTAAAGTCACCAAGCATAATTATATCTCTCTCGAAGTGCCATTCGGAAAAAGGAATTAGCGGTTGTATGGATGTTTTTTTTTCTTTAAGGACGACGTTTGCAACCATTCCGCGCAGCAAAGCATCATCTGTTGACTCCGGAACAAGTGGGGGCGGATCAGGAGTATCCACGGGCTCCCGAGGCAAAGGTCCATTAGCTTGGACGCGATCGTTGGCGTCAAGCAGCAGCAGAAAGAGCGAAACTCCACGGCAGAAAAGAGCGACCTCAATCGCCTCGGTTGAGGTGGGGGAGGAGGCCGCATTAGTCCAATCGGCCGTCGCTCCCCCTCGCAAACTTAAAGAGGACAGAGTAAGGCAGATTTAGTTAAATTCTTGTTTCCTGTGAATGATAGTTTCGAAATTCCAGTCCAAGTCTACCAGTTGCAACAATGACATATCCGCGCACTCAAACACCTTGGATAAGATCGACAATATTGAGTTTATAGACCAGTCTACCTCGCCTCAAGATGTCTCCAAAATTAGTAAAGGGTACCACACTTTGGACTCGGACAATGACTTTAACGAGGCCAAGGCCAGCTCGTTTGAGGAAGATGTGTTCAAAACACCACAGGGTAAACTGCAAAAGGCCAAGGTTAAGAGCAAGACGGCCAGTAGCAAGAAGAAGAATAAGAAGGTGAAAAGTAAGTGGTTCCGCTAATAGTTCAAATTGATGCTTTGAAAGCGACATATTTGCTGTTATGGTTTACATAGTGTAAAGCGGTTAAAATAATTCTTTAAAAAAATTATCAATCCTTTTCGAAAGCAAATAAAGCCTCACATTTAACGGAAGATGAAAATCTGTAATTTAAATAATTTTATGCTATTAAGTGTGACCTTTTTCTCAATTCTAAAACGTTTAAGGTTTCAAGAGCAAAACAAGAGCATTTCGAAATTTCATTCTCCGAGTTACCCTCATGCTCTCACACTTTCTTTTTGTCTTGCTAACGCGTCAGTGTTTATTGACTTGTTTAATCTGTATTTTAAGGAAATTTTGCATGCCTTTGCCTAGCTGAGCTGAACATTTTTTTCAATGTAACCAAGCATTTTTTTTACTTGATGTTTCGATGTCTCAGAGCGGTTTCAAATGAACTCTGATGTTCCCAGATTGATTACTTGAATATCCAACGTTCCTATCTAGTGAACTATTCGAGGATCTAGCTTAGCTTTGCAATCTAGACAATAAATTTCTGTTCTTTAAGAACTGAAACTCACAGCAAAAGTGCTAATGGTGTTAAGAAATGTTTTATTCGCAATTAGTGTACGCAAAACCAATAGATTTCCATTAGATTCTAATCATTTATTTATTAACAATGAACGAAGAAACTTCACATAATAATTGGACTTTATTTACCCTGTTCCAGCTCCATCGATAGACATAACGGTTGCTGAGATGCGAAATGAAAAGTCACCCCCCAAAGAGCATGTAACGACGATTAAAACTTCGAAAATAGACACGGATACTACCAAAATTGTTACCACTACTACGAGCTTAAACAGGTAAGCTTTTTGTACTGTTTTAGGAAGAAAAAAGTAGTATTTAATTGAAATTTGTAATGTTCTTAGGTATACGTTTATGAAACTGATGGACCATGACAGTCAGCCGGAGAATCACTTCGAAAAGAAAATTCGGACACATAGTTGCAGCAGCATTCCATACGATAATATTATTGAGAATCTGGCTCCGTTTAGGAAACGATTTTGCAACGTGCAGTTATTTAATGACAAGGATGAGAAAGAACGACAAGATATCAAAGGTAAGGTGTTTATTTAGGGGGCAGTTAAAGGCAACAACAAATGCATCAGTAATCGCTTAAAATCTAATTAATAAGCAATTGACCATTCGTGCATTTGTTTGAGCGCTATCAGCCTAAATAAGATCGAAGTTAAACTGATGATCGAATAGATGCTATTAGGGCAATAAACTACCTGTTTGCTTGCAATCTTCCCTTATTGTCCATTTATTGTGTCGAGCTTAGACTCAGAGCTTAGTTCTGCTTAGAGCCCTGTTGAGTGATATTCAATACGTTCCTTAAGTTGATTGCCAGTGTGTTTAGTGCACAGTTTAGTGGTTATGAAAGGTGCGTATTATAAGTTAGTACACCTATGTATAAAACTGTTAAACATTTTATTCTTTGGGATATTCTCGTTTTTTAGGACTTTGGTATTCAATTTTTATATCTAGAATTGGTTGGGAAAAGGTAGCTTATTTTATTAGCAAAATTAAGTTGATTCTGTATACATTTTTTTATTCCTTTATTATGACCGGGATTAAAATGCCAGGGAAAAATTATTTTCTGATTGCATGAGGTCTTTGTCGTTTATGTTGGGGCTGTTTTATAATTTCTCATTTTTATTTTTTAAGAAAATTATGTTTCATTCGCTACTTCCATCTTCATCCCAGCCCCGTTCTTTCTTTGCTTGTTCGAAATTTGTCTGATATCCTGTCTAACTATATGAACTAACGATTTTCATTCAGATCATTGCTTTCGTCCGTCTTAGCACTTCACACGACTATCATTATTCTGTGCCTTTGAGGCATGCGACTGTCTAGTCGCTTTGTTTGTTCTTGTCCGTTAAATATATTTTAATTTCGTGGAAATTTGTATGTGCTAAATTCGATCCTGTGCAAACTTTGATTGATGACTGATTTGGTTCTTATCGATGCTTTTGATGTTGATATGGTGATGTTAGATGATTTGGCCATTCTTCAAAACTGCCGCAGCCCACAGTTATAATATATATAATATAATTTTTTCTAGGCCATTTCATACCGCTTTGATTTTCGCATATTTCCTTTAAAGATTCGCGCTAATTTATTTTTATAGCTTTTCCCGCTGGCATCGCTTGAAGTATAAGGCTTATGTTTGGGACTTGCAAAACGTCTTTTTAAGTCACAAAAGTTTAAATAATCATCGCTATAAACTTGGTGGTGAAGTAGCTTCTAGGTACATCTATTTCAGTGTTCCTAGTTAATCTTCTGAACTTCAGTTGCCAGTTTTTCGAGTCATACCTATTTGGAGTGAAAACTGAACAGCAAATGAATTTGCGTGTCCTAAGTGGGTAAAAAGTGTTCTTCCTTTCATGTTTGTTCATGGATTTTAATTGGAATTATTTCCATTCTGCGATCATTTGAAAACATTCGGGAGCAAATTATTTCGGTGCGTGGCATGGCAAAAGTTTGCTTTTGCCATGCCACGAAGAGAACAAGTTCAGATTATATCATGATGTAAGCAGATACCTGGTTGATAAATGGAATAATAGCAGTCCTGTTTGTGCATATGCCAAGTTCCGTAATAAGCACATTCTGATTATTGTATCATACTGCAAGACTTCCACTCTCAGTTATTCAAATGTTTTATAAACGTTGCTAATTACATAATGTTTAATGTGTAAATATTGTTTGTCGGAGGTCAACGGTAAGGAGTGACTTTGACCTATAGAAACCCTCTTGAAATAGTTTAAGGAACACTGTGCTATCGAGTGTTTTACATAGAGCGTTTCTGTTTTTCACGTTATCAGAAAATTTCCAGTGCAACCAACTGAACTGCATCTGAATCGACCCTGAAACAAGCGGCGCGAAATCGCTCGGCATTGAGAAACTTCAAATTCAGTTTGTCAACATCCTTTAATCAAATGACGACTCATTATCAAATCATCAAGATGTTTATTTACTTGTAAATCGCGTTCCCGAACGGCACATTATTCTGTTAGACCGCAAAGACTCAGTGCTAAATTTAATAGAGGGCACATTTGATTATAGTGTGGTGGAAATTCGCAGTGAAATTGCACAGAAAGAGGACTAGGTATGGTCCCGCAGGATGGATAACTTCGAAAAACGGTAGTTTAATTTACCGCTTTTAGGTACTTTTTTCAGTTTGCCGGTTAGTTCCATCGTTGTATCTTTTTCAAGTTAATGCTAATTGTTAAATAATTAAATCTCATGCAATACGGTTTATTACCCGCGATGTTTCTTCATTTTAATTCCATATTTCTCTATGTGTCAGCAATGCTTGTTATAAATTTATTAGCAATTGAGAGGCCAAAGTCGTACCTTAATTTGTTCATTATTCTGTTGTCTGGATCAAAATAAATACAATTCAGCTGCATAGTCACATATTTACTGATCATTGAGCGCACCTCTTTTCTTCGCAAATCTTTATGAATAAATGATGTATTTACTATTGATAATCAGCTATTTAATAATGTCAATTCTTGATCTGAAAACTACACACTATTCGATTCTCTATTAAACAGATTTAAAGCCCAGCAGAGTTGTGTTATCGCAATGGAAATCAAACTTTATTCGTCTAATACCTGCAGGATTGTTGGAGCTTTTAATGTTTGATTATTATGTACAATATAACCATTATCCTAAGGAAATTGTAGTGTAATAACTGATCCAAAATAACAAAGGATCAATCGTTGAATCCCTTCCTACGGTTTATTGTAGTAAGTTATGAGCAGATATTAAAAATAAAAATTCCTTTAGCGCATTCGGAGGAGAACATTATTTTTGCAACTGAGTGAGATAACTTTATATGCGTTCGATAATATTCAACGAAAAACCATAATTATTATTGAATTGAAATTGACGAGTGTTTCAGCCTTTAGAAGCCCGAAAAGCTCACCAGTTCTATGCAATTGGCGCTAAATTCTAAATCCATTGTTACCTATTATTTAACTGAATTATTTTATAATATTTGGTTTATTGTTCAATTTTTTCAGTTTTTCTTCGCATCCAGCTAAAATAGGGCATTATTTCAAGGCTTTTGCAGTCTGATGTTTTAATTAAAAAAATTGCAAAAAACATTGCAATTCAACGAAACTAATCAACATTTAAAAATATATTATAAACATTGATTAAAAGTAGAAGAGTTCGTTCTTCTTAAGCTGTCTTTAATTTGCTATATCGTTTAAACATAAAAAACATCAGTATTTATGTTAAATCAATCCTGCAAACATTTAAAAAACGGTTGCTGAATTAAAATAATTGTAATTCATGTATATATTTTACAATTTGGAACTTCCATAATTCATGACAGCGACCAAAGTAAACATATTAACACTACTTGCATCATGATGGTCTTAGATGAGTAATCAGTCAGGATAAGTTTATAGGAAATCAATTACTAATTATTATTCTTTCTTTCTAAGGGCGATTTGAAATATCAGGTTTTCCAAGTTTCGAAAAATAATCAATATTCCAAGTATCGAGTAAACGTAGATTATCAACATAGTTACATGTCAAGTTTTTCTCACTAGATTCCTACTTACACGAGTATTACTAGTGATTGTGTTGCATCTGCATCTGAAAGTTGCAAAATACAACGCAAATGCTGTGAATCAGCTTTGTTTATAAATACAATAGTTTTACTTCAGTTCGAATATGGTATCAATAACGATCGCACTACAACTCGATAACCGCTCTCGTGCTTGCATTAGGTAGGACAGAAAATATGCGCTGGCGTCTGAGCGATAACACATATTATATTTAAGCATTGTAATCAGTGTTGATAGTTTAAGATGCTGATTAGAGTTTATGACTACATTTATAAGGGAGATTTTACAAGTTATTCATCTATTAATTTATATGGATTAGTTCATTAGGATCATTGCTTTCAGTTAAAAAAAACCGTCAACACTTTCAAATCCATGCAATACAGGCTCTTAATGAAATATAATTTGCCAAACTAACTGCTTTCTAATGAGTATACGAAGTACATTTTCTGTTTGATTTATTTAGAGTTAAAAATACATACAACTGACTAACTGCAAAGTATAGAAAAGTTCCACAAACTTACCGTTTATAAACTTATTTGCATTTGATTTTTAGCTAACAAATTTGAGGCACTCAACATAGAGAAAAACGATTTTTCTTTTTAGCAAGGGTAATTCTATCCATTTTCCTAACACTTTAATTCAATGTTTTTTTTTTGTCTTTACCACTTCCGACAATAATTTTCACTTTTGTAAATGGCGAATTAATAATTAGCAAAGCGAATGTAAATAGATTCATTTTTTTACAGTTTAGGTTTTGTATCAAACGAAAGGACGGTAAATAAACGGTGTTCGTTTATGGAAATTGAGTTTTAGTATTTTCTAAAATGCTTCTTTTTCGGTCGGTTGAGTCGTTTATTCCACTAAAATTTGATTTAAAAAAAATTATGTAGGTATGTTTCTCTACGTTAAAGTCCTAAATTGTATGTAATGCCTTATATTTCAAATTTATTAATTTTTTGACTGAATGAAAACTTCATTCACTTACCATTTGCGTTTTCAGTTTAAATTATGCCTTCTTTTGTTGGTAAATGCTAAAGCTGTCTTCAAGCAAAAACCGTAAATGAATGAATCCACTTGAATTTAAAACAATTACTTTACTATTTATTTGTGAGGTCCTGTGAAAATATGTAATCACAAATTATTCCTGCTGATACTTGGAAATAATACCTTAACCAGCTAGTAACAATTAAACACTTTTTAAAAATGAATCGATGCAATCACTACGCATTAACTGCATATTATACTAAGATACTGGCATTTACTGATTCCAGAAGGAAGTGATTACTTGTTCTGCTAATTCGTTTAAATTCTCATTTTTATATGGGATAGGGTCGCTTAAAATAATATTTAGCCGAAGGAAATTCCCATCAGCAGCCAATTGGGCTTGAAAAATTCCAATTTTAATTATACATTTGTAAATCAATCTGTCATTCTTCAGCTTCCTTCTAATGCATTTGCCCCTGATAGTCTCCATGCTTTATTTAGTAGAGCGATAACACATTTACCACTACACATACCCTGGTATCGGATTCAATATTTGAAAGAATTGCGCGTTAATTCCCATCAAAGTTTTATGTTTGAATGTTTCAGTCTGAAATGTGTGTGTTATATTGCATATTAAATGCAAAAAAGGTGGCATTATTTGCTTGTTATATGTTTCAGTTGCAGGTTGTTTGTTTTTTGCTGATAAGCCGTGTGTCTGTTTGCAAACACATACCAGATCAATCAGTTTGAAACGAATATTGCTTTTGTGGAAATGTTTTGCTGCACAAAACAACGAGCGGGCGAGTTTTGTAATTTGCTCTTTCATGTATTGTTTTCGTGTTTTTTCTTCAATTTTTCCTATACGCTGGACTTATCGTGGCTGAAAAGTGTCCAGAACCTTCATCCACCATGCTTAAACACAGTATAAATACACATCTCAAATAGATATGGCAATCTTTTATATGCGTGTCTTATCGTTTCAAAATTGTCAATGGGGCGCCAGATAGCGACGCTGCACAACAATAATTAATATTAGGTACAATTACATTTTTTTATTGTTAAGATCCTGCTTTCGCGAAGTAACAGAACGCTCTCACTTCTTTTTGAAAAGTTCGTTTACGCAGTAGCGATTTTTTCCTTGAATGAAAGTGCATAAACTTAGTGAGGGGCGTATGTGAATCTGGTGCCCAATTTTGTTAATCGCAATGCTAGAAGTCGTTGTTTTCGTTGGTGTTTAGTTCGAAGTTCGAATCTCAGTTATGGATATTTCACTTTTGAGTAAGTTTGTGAAGGTAAATATTACTCACGGGAGTTAGTGCAATAAAGAATTGTCGCTTTTGTTAGAGCAATTTTTCGAAGCTGAATGTATAATGAATTTTTCATTAAGTTTTTCGCTAATATCTTCTCATGTTATCAAAATGAAACTTATTCTCTTACTACTTACTGCAACAGCCTTTTTACATAATACACTATCAACTACTCCTTGTTAATGATGCCTAATGTACAACAATAAATTGCTCTTTATTGTTATTAGCGCTGAGGCGGCAATTTTTGAGTTAATGTTTTAATGAAGTCATTTAGAATGTGCTGTAAGTTTGCTCACGAAGTTTTGTTAAATTTTCTCTGGCCTCAGATGTTGCATCGCCTCATTCGGATCGGAAAAAAGCTGCTAATTGAGAAATCGAGTTGATTGGGTTTCGATTTCATCGTCGCACCGCTTGAAGCAAATTAATATACAAAAACGTCCAAATCTAGTTTCGCTATTTGTTTGAAATCCACACTCATTGTCTGTTTTAGATTGAGGATTTCAATTACCTTGTTCTATTACATATTTGATAAGTCTCTTACTTCATACGATTTTATTACTATTACCTCTCTTGTTGAATGAGTTCGAATGACGCCTACGACTTTCATAAAACATGCCCATATCAGTTTTCTTCAAACACATTGTTTATGTAGGGATTTACGCCATTATCTGATTACTTTGGATCAATTGCTGAATTATCGTCGAACATTTAAACCTATATTATTGATCTCAATCAATTTGCGCCATGCACACCGACTGTCTACCTTGTAGTATAGGATAGGCTAATAAATAATGTGTTGTTAATAATTTGTAAGGCATTTTGGTTATTCCCGACTTGTATATAGCGTTGGACCAAGTTAATGAAACATTTTTCCATCAGAGTCAGTCCCAATTACGACCGAAACCGACTCGGACGTTCGCCGAATCGTCGAGTCTGTCCTCGATCAGATTCTGGATATGGCAATTGAGACCGTTGAAAGCAACCAATTGTTGTACAGCGCGAAAGCGGAAGAAAGTAAAAAAGTGCCAGAGCTTTCAGTGGAACCGCCCCCGGATCCAAAAGAGCCAGAAGAGAAGGAGGAAGAGGACTTCGAATATCAGGTTGGCTTTACTAAATGCTACTGTACAATGTCACAAATTTATTGGATTGGAAATCGCACACTGATCACAAACATCTTATTAATTTAGTTCCCTTAGTTGCTATGAAATCTACCCGTTTGCACGCATTGCGTAAACAATCAACAAATTTCTGCATGTTTACGAGAAGGATGTTGCTGCATTTGTATAAAATACTACTGTGAAGTGTATTTTGCTATGTAGACTGGCCATTTTTTTGCAGTTTGATGGTTTTGTTTTTTAATTTGTTAATGAACTAGCAACTTGTCCGGTCATATTTTACCCAAAAAAAATATTGCAACTCTATTTTGAGTGCCAACAAATTGTGAATTTGACTCTTAGATCCGAATCAAGGAAACCAATGACACTTATTAATCAGGCATTTAAAAGGGAAACGAAATATTTAAAAAATATCTACTAGATCACCTACCCATACATAACTCCACCATCTGTTCACCTTAACACTGTTCCATAAAAACACGAATAGTTGCTAAAACTTTGGATTCATATTAAGTGGCAAAGGGATTGTAACTGTAGCGTAGTAATGTGTATTTTAGTCCCGGATACGGTGCAATACCGGTGATGTTTTATCAAACTTGTATCCCTCCAAAATAACGCACGCACCCTCCAACGATACTCTTATAGATGCGAAAAGTTTCGTTGAAGATTATGAGGAATACCATGATTCCTGTAGCGAAATGCCAGACTCTGAACTGGCTGTGGGTCAGGTAAGAGACCTAAGCATGATCGCGTTTAAAGCGATTTTCATTCAATCATTAACCGATTAGTGTTTGCATCCGGCATTACATGTTTGTAATGTTTGTTTCTGGGGTACGGGATCTGTATATTAAATGTTTGTTCTTGTTCAATGTTAAAAGGAAAATTTACGGGTTAATGTCGACAATTCGTGCAAAGTATTCGCGTTTGGTTTTAATGTTTTTTTGTTTTTTTTTAAATTTATTTATCTATAATTGCTCGTAGCAACATTGATATTAGTTCCATTCAGCGTGGAATCGTAGCTTTTTTCTGTTGTAGAGCGTCAACTGAAAAACTCCTCAAATTCTTTTATAAGTTTTGCTTTTCACGTAAATTAAGGATTCACTCATCTCATAATTTTCGAAAAGTAAATAGTTCAATTTTTTTTTCGGTACTCAAGTTCCTCTTCGATGGATATTGTAGTGACACCTTTGCTGATATGTCTTCTAGCAAGGTTACGCAATGTTTTCTGAGTGTTTTGTTAAGCTCTCTGTAGTTCGAAAGAAGCTTAGTTGCCATATGCGATAGAGCAGCTTTTTTGTTTCGCAACGTGGCACTAAATGCTTTTAATTTACCCTTTAGCGGTTGGTGATGGATAAACTAGTGGAATTTTTATTCCAATCTTACTTTTTCACATTGTATTTTTACATATTCAAATTATCCGCTTTACTCGATGCTTTAGAGTATTTATCAATATGTACTTTGTTGCATGATTTTTTAATTCAAAGCTTTAAGAGTGACAGCTGTGTTTCCTTAACTATAAGTGCAAACCGGAGCGTAATATATATATATATATAATTCCCGCTAAGTATGGGTGTGCGAAATCTTCCTTTTTTAAGCCCCTCAATATCAATTAGTCTCAACAATATTACTCGGAAAATGTTTCCTTTTATCCCAACTCTTGATTGTCATTTTCCTAATTCAGTTGCTTGCTTAGTGAATCGTCTGAAAAGATTATTCTTCTGGAGATATTTCGCACCCATAAAGCAGAATATATCCACTAATATAAAACATGATGTAGATCCTGAATGACCTGGACGAAAAGGTGGAAAAAGCGATAACAGAGAGGCAACGCCAAAAGCGGAAAAAAGACAAATCGGTTAAACACAGAGGAGTAACGAGTTTAATCCCAATTGAGACCGATTCGAACACGGAAGACGATCCTGAAATTCAGCAAAACGACATGAGATTGTTACAAGTTAGTATTGGACTTATGCGCTTTAGTGTACAGTGCTATAAAACGAATAAAATTTTATAGTTGGGAGCGATGTATAACATACCGAAAAACCTATTCCAAAGCGCGGAAATGACTGAGATTACTGAACAGACAATCGATAGGCACGACGAAAACGCAGACATTAATCTCGAAGTTGAACAGCCGGTGGTGGTAAATCTGAAGGAGCGTGAAGGCAAAGAAGACGATGATGATGTATATCGACCTATCGCTGTTAGCCCCGATGGAAGGTACGGCAGGCATTTTTTTCAAAACCACGAGCTGCTGCAGTGTTTGGTTACAGATTCTTTAAGTATGAAGAAGAGATCGGACGTGGTTCATTCAAAACTGTGTACAGAGGCTTGGATACGCAAACAGGAGTAGCAGTCGCATGGTGTGAGCTCCAAGAGAAGAAACTGAACAAGGCGGAGAGACAGCGCTTTAGAGAGGAGGCAGAAATGTTGAAAAAACTCCAGCATCCGAACATTGTGCGGTTTTACAACTACTGGGAGAGCTCTCTCACCAAAAAGAAAAACATCGTGTTGGTAACAGAGCTGATGCTTAGCGGGACCCTAAAGACGTAAGTTGTTGGCAAATGCTCTCATTAAATTATGCTGAATTTTCGTTTGTAAATTTTCAGGTATTTGCGTCGTTTTAAGAAAATCAATCCAAAGGTTTTAAAGTCGTGGTGCCGCCAAATTCTCAAGGGGTTGGCATTTTTGCATTCGCGCTCTCCTCCAATTATTCACAGGGATTTGAAATGTGACAATATTTTTATCACGGGCACCACTGGGTCGGTCAAAATCGGAGACTTGGGTTTGGCCACGTTGAAAAACAGAAGTTTTGCAAAATCTGTAAGTATTTAAGAAATATACAACATTATGCCAGCTAGGAAGCAACAGGACTAAAAAATTAAACAAAACTTAAATTCAATTGAACAAAAAGCATTAAAATATTTATGTAAGTAAGATAGTGCAAACTTCGAGGTTTGCCAACCTCAGACACTCACAGGACCGGTATCGAGCCTATTAGTTCTCATCAGCTGGGTTTATCCTGAAATTAGCGACCGCGAAACCTGCACTCAGTGCAAGTGCATACTTTAATCAGTGAATAACGCAGATCTAAAAGAATTTACTATTAAAACCGTACATTTGGAAAATTGCTTAACTAGAAAGTCAGTAAAGTAGTATTCAGTATAAGAAACAGTCAATTTCTGGACAAAACAATTATAAATTTATCTTAAAACTACTAAATAATTCAGGCAGTTTCAAGCAATACTATCATACCTATGGATCGGGTGTCTTCATTGCCTTTGATGCATTTTTACTTTTACAGGTGATAGGAACCCCCGAATTTATGGCCCCAGAAATGTACGAAGAACACTATGATGAAGGTGTGGATGTATACGCTTTTGGTATGTGCATGTTGGAGATGGCAACCAGTGAATATCCGTATTCGGAATGCACCGGACCAGCTCAGATTTACAAAAAAGTTATATCTGTAAGTCCAATATTTCATGCGTTTTACATTGCCTATCTAATCAGTCACTCTATTAAAAAGGGCGTCAAACCAGCAAGTTTCGATAAAGTCCAGAATCCCGAAGTGAAAGACGTGATTGAGAGTTGCATCAGGCCGATGAAAGAAGATCGGCCTAAGGTGAAGGACCTGCTACAACATGCGTTCTTTGAGGAAGATGTCGGCTTAAAGGTCGAAGTGGTGTCGCAAGAAAAGAAAAGAATTGTGTTTCGATTAAGGGTTATTGACCCGAAGAAGCGTACACACAAACATAAGGAAAACGAGGCAATTCAATTTGAGTTTGATATGGAGACGGACAAGTATGACGCTATTGCTGAGGAAATGGTAAGTTTCTGCATAAAAAGCCAAAATTTGGAAATACCTGTACACGTTCCTTAGTAAGGTATTAATTTGATGACACTTGATCTATTCAGGTTAGTTGTCACGATCATTAGACTGCAGAAAAACAGTTTTAGAAAATCATAAAAATATGTTGTGTGACCTGCTGAATTGTATTAATTTCTTGTTCAATTTGTCTGTAAGATTCTTTACAGTCGTTGCTTATAAATCACACAATTGAACTGCAACTGGAAATCGTTACTGTCGGAGCATAACTGCTAAAGTCTTTACTGATATTTGTAGGCGAAATCCGGAATAATCTTTGAAGAGGACGCGAAAACTGTGGCTCAGCTTCTAAAGGCGCAAATCGTGCAGATTAATAAAGAACGGGAAAAACAGGAGAAGCAAAACAAAGAGCAAGAGGCTTTGGCTCAGCAATTACAATATCAGCAGTATCTGCAGCAGCAAGGTACATTATTTGACTCAAAAATTTTTTAGAATATTTTTGAACAAACTAATCCTGCACATTTAGCCGAGCAACAGCAACAGCAAATCAACCAGCAACAGCAGCAGATTAATCAGCAACAACAACAGCAGATTAATCAACAACAGCAGCAAAATACCCAGCAACAGGTAAACTTACCATTCGATTACTAACTGTCCGAGTTACTAAAGGTATTTTTAGTACCAACAGCAGCCGCAGTACCAACAACAGCAAAGCATGATCCAAGTTCAGCCCGACCAGCAATATCAGCAACAGCACAATGTGCTTCAGCAGGATCCCCAGCATTACCAGCAACAGCAATCGGTTGTTCAGCAGCAAAGTGTGCCTCCGCCAGACTTGCAGCACCAATATTCCCAGCAGCCTGTCACCCAGCAAATTATGCAACCGCCCCCGGAAAGCCAACCCCAGCAAAACATTATGTATCAGCAACAACAGCCCACGCAACCCCAAACGCAACCGCCGCCTCAGCAACAGTTCACTGCTGTTCAGCCGCCGCCACCAGTACAGTCCCAGCAACATCAAGTTCCACCCCAACAGCATCAAGTTCCACCCCAACAGCACCAAGTTGCTCCTCAACAGCACCAAGTTCCGTCTCAACAGCATCAAGTTGCTCCTCAACAGCACCAAGTTCCGCCTCAACAGCATCAAGTTCCTCCTCAACAGCATCAGGTTGCTCCTCAACAGCATTCAGTTCAGCCACAGCAACATGTTTTGCCGCCTCAGGCTCAGCCACAAGTGGTTACGGGTGATCAGTCGCAAATGCCGTCCCCGGCCACTGTTCAGTTGCAGCGGCAAACATCGGTGGAACCGAATATGCAATCACAACCCATCGTCCATAAGCAGGCGCCGTCTACACAGTTTGTTCAGCAGAATTATATCCAGGAGGGAGTCGCCCAACATGCTGAGTATTTGCAAGTGAGTATCAATTCAATTTGGCTCAGAAATTACTGATTTAATAAAATTTTTGGGTTACATTCAAGGACCCTGGTTACATTATTGAAAATTTGATAAATAGAAAACATTGAATATTAGAGTCAGTGGAATCTTTGTTTCTATTTTACAGGTGTCCGGATCTAAGCAAGCTCATGGGCAAGAAAATGCGGCACTAAAATCGATCTCCCAACCGGAGTTGTTACATTCGGCGGCTGCCCACAGTGAACATCGACTGAGTGTCGATAGTCAAATGGAATTACAGCCCCAGTCGCAAAACTATCAGCAAAACTACATTCCTCAACAGCAAAGCTTCCAGCAGCCCCCTTCGCAAACTTATCAACAGCCGAATCAAACGTACCAAACGCAACAGAGTTTCAATGACCAACAACAGCAGCAGCAACAGCAGTATCAGCAATATCATCAGCATCCGACTGAGATGGCGGCGCAACAGCAGCAGCAGTTTGTGCAACAGCAGCAACAATATCAGCAAACCCAGCTGTAAGTTATCACTTATTCATGGACGAGTGATCGGTTTAATCTTAACGCCTTTTCACCAATTTCAGTTACCAGCCATCTCAAACCTACCCACAACAGCAACAAATACCCTGTCAGCAGCCAACGTATAATCAACAGTACAGCCAGCCACAGTCGCAACAATATGTGACTCCTCCGGTCGAGCAACAGCAACAGCCTCCTCAGTTCATTCCCCAGCAACAGCCAAATGTAGAGCAGCAAATCTATCAACCGCAGTACATTCAGCCGGCCGCACAGAATCAGCAGGTTCAGCAGCCGCAACAGCAACAGATTCCGGTTCAGCAACATATCCAGCTGCAACAGCCGCAGGCGCCAATTCCATCCGGACAGCAGCAAGTTCCAGTCCAACAGCAGCAACCGCAACAAGTCGATGTGGCGCAGGATATTTCGCAAATTCAACAGTCTATGGGACACAGGTAGGGTTTTTTGTGACTAAATAACTTTTTTTTAACTAGTAAATGATGTTTCTGTGCTCATAATTCCTTCAAACCCATATAGAGTGAAAGCTCTACTTACAGACAGCTTTATTAAGCGGACATCTCTCCTAACCGCGGCAACCTTTCAGAAGTCGCGACAAACAAGTATTTTAGAATATGTTAATAAACCGACACAATAACATTCAATGTTTCTATGTTATAAAACATAAAAACAAAAACTGAAAATAAATATTTATTTTTTACCCGGACACCTCCCATTTTTTGTAGAACCGTGTCTCGTTTATCGGAGCTCTCACTGTAATTGCAATTCAAAAACTATTTTTGTTATAGACTGTCTACCACCGAGATACCGCCGATGAATCTTGAGCAGCTGCAACAGAAATTGGCAGCTCAAAGTCTCAAAGATCAACATCGGGCGTCCACCACATCTTTACCACCGATGCCCAGCTTCGATCCGCCTCAGCAGGATCATCGAAGAATGTCCACCATCTCTCAGCCAGCTTGTCCCCAAGAGTATCCTCAGCTACAGCAACAGATTATCGCTGAGGAATTTGCTCAGCAATCACAAGTGGTATGTATCCTGAACACTCCAACATAGCTTACTGTTTTCTGCAGGTTCAACTGTTACTGGACGTATTTTTTGCAGGAACCATCAGCAGAAAATGGTTTTCCGCCAGTTCAGAGCGAGGCAGCTTTAAATACCGAACAGTTAGCAGTGAAGATAAACCAGCAATCGAGCGTCAGTCCTGGACAGAACGGCGATGATATTGACTTGTCGGTATCGGAAGCGGTAAGCGTTAATTTTTTCATTTAATGCGCACCAATTTAGAGCTTTATCTGTACTTGTGCGGCACAAAATAGGATCATTCATCTTCAACTGGTGCCGATCCAGAACCGAGCAAACGTCGCTCGACTAAACGATCATCTATTCGTCACAGACTTATAGTTGATTCAGTTCACCTTGATGGAACTGTAGAGTGTCGTTTGGTGTCGAAACAGCAAACTATTAGTTTTAAATTTAACCGTCTCGATACAACTCCTTCGGATATAATTGAGGGCATGACCAAGCAGGATTTACTCAAAGCTGGGCAGCATGATAAGTTGAGGTCTCATCTTCATGAGGTCATGATCGAGCTTAAGTTGAGGCCTGATCAGATTCCAGAGTGTGCTAGGTCTGGGTCGAGCGGCAGAGAAGCTCATAAGGTAGGTTGGAAGAGGGAGGAGAGCTTTTTTTCGAAATATTTTAAAACCGGGGCTGAAGTAAAACGCAATATTTTCTTCATGCTGCTTCCTCTGGATATAAAGGTTAGACACGCATCACTTACAAGACACTCGCATAAAAAGACACATAGGCGACATAGATCTGTAAGTACTTCGCTCGTAACTGTGTGGAATCATTGCAAGTATATCGATTTGACGAAAGCGTTTGTTTCCAGAGAGACGAAACAAGCAGCCAGACTCTCGTCAACAAGCTCGAACAGAACTCCAATCAAGACGATTTTCAGACCATCAAAACCACGCTAGCGGATAATATCTACCAGAATTTAAGGTAGTTATTTGCTTATCTAAACGTTGCCTGCTGATGTTGAGCGGTTCTAAAACGTTCAGGTGCAGGGAAAGCTTAAATTCGAGCGGTACTGTATCCAGGAAAACAAGCACTGCGTCCGAGTACACGCCTGAACATACTTATGTGACTAATTCAAATAGTAGAGGAGGACAAAGTCTCGTAAAGCAAACCAATGTTAGCTATTCGAATGATAGTTGCTTGGTGGCTCCCCAGGAAATTCCTTCTGTAAGTATCAAAGCATCGATTTTAATTAATCAGTAAAGTTATGGAACTGATTTTATTGCTGTAACTTCAACGATGGGTTTTTGTTCACTCAATGATAAGATAATATTTTTCATTAGGCCGCAAGCAACATGCAGCCATATCAAAAACTGGATGCTGCACACGCGGTTAAAGAAGATGTCTTGGATCATACTGATGCTTTTAAGACAGAACTGGCTGATAGTTTAAAACAAAAGGATACTCCTTCTTTAGTGCCAGGACAAAAGGTGAATCTCAAGGTGTTTGTGATGAGTGTTGGCAATAATGAACAGAACTGCACGCCAAACGAAAGTGTTTTAAGTGCAGAGGCTGCAGCGGCTTCTCAAGCTGCTGAAGGTACGATGGTAAAATTCAAAGCAAATTGAAACCAAGGACTATTTTTGCTTGTTTTAATAGGCGATAGAGTTGGATCTGAACCGGTGGAAAAAATACTTTCTGCTGCGGTAGAGGGTAACGATAAAAATGATCTGCTGAATAAATCTTCCTTACTGTCCCCTCAAAGGAAAATATCGAGATTTTTGGTCAGCCCTGTTTTGAGCGGCCAGTTGAACTTACCCAAAGGAAAAGTGTCCGAGATGGAGAACAAAAATCAGGATCCCCCTGCAGGTAAAATTAAATATGTAAAAAAGTAATCAACAAACATGCTCATTTGGGGTATTTATGGAAAACGTACCCACTAATAGTAGTAGCCCAAAGACTTACAGGGAAAACGAATAATTACTGTTTTTATCATTAAATTACTTAATAAGCCTACGCGTGGAGAACAAGTTGAACGCACATTAATCGTGCGCTTATTATCGTTAATTCTAGCTTTCCGGTCGGTTGCTTTGTCGGTAAATCGATCTTTTTTGCTTAAAAATCACTAATTCTTTCAGTGTGTTTTGGAATGTTTCTTAAATGTTCCAGGAGAAAAACAATCAGGAACTGTTGCCAACCAACCCGAAAAGCCCGACATTTCACTATCTCAAAATAACCGGCCACAAAACATAGTGGAACAAGCACTGCCCGCAGGAAATACACAGCAGCAAATCAACGCAAACAATGCTGCTTTCAATGCCAATCAAGTTCCAGCGGTAAACTCGCAAGTTCCATCAAACGTTCAGGTGCCTGCAGGTGCACCTACTGTTGCAACACATCCAGCCCAACAGACTTCTCAAGTTGATATTGCCGCAAACTCCGCACCGGTGTCGATCCCAACCAGGAAAACTTCAGCGCCTCTGGAAACTACCAGACTGGAAGTCGAAAAGCCTCTGGAGCAGAAGATTAGCGTCTGTAGCTTGAAGGAAGAGGGCACGAAAACGGAGACAGGTAAAACATGGTTTTGTGATAAACTCACTGGTCGATTAAGCTATTTAGCAGATACGTTTTGGTTGATATGGAAAAATGCTTCAAAAAATAAAACACTTGATAATTAATATGTTATAAAAGAACATTATCGCTTTCTACGACATCTCAACATCTACAAACATATCCAAAAAAGACCGACGCATCAACTCAAAAAAAAACCAAATTCACAGCGAATTTTATCAAAATACATCGCTTCATTATCGTGATACTTTTTTGAAGAACTTGACCATTAATAACAGAGGAGCCAGATATTTTTTGTTCTAGCTTATAAATGTTTGTGAGACAACAGTTCAATTCATGGACAAAAATTTGACTATGAAACAGATCTATGAAACAAAAACCATTTTTAATATATTTTTTTTTAACAAAAAAGGACTTGGAACTGGGAACTATTTTTTTGAATATTTTAATATTTTTTACAAAAATGTTTTGCAATACAACTAAATTGACTCTAATCTGACAACAAATTCATGTAATTATTGTCTTGTTCTTCGACATTTTCAACTTGCGATGATTCAGCTGGATTGTTGGTCGTTTGTTTTTTCTATTTTTGCAGCTTTGGCTCATGGGGCAAGACTTTATAAAATTGATGGTATATTGGAAAGATGAAATCTAGCAAATTCTGTAAATTCTCCATTTCTCATATTTAATTTTGAGTGTTTCCTGGTAATATTTTGTTTACCTGATCCCGAAGGCAAAATGATAATAATTCAGTAGCCAAACAACCCAAGTGCCACTCAGGCATTTTTGACTCTAAACGCCTGGCGAGATTCTTTTATACTGAATTTTTTATTCACCAAAAGAAGCTATGTTTTTTACCTGGACGATTTTACCACCAAATAGAAGCAAATATGGAGAACACAAGATAACACTTGTGTTGTGCATGTTTAAATCGGCTAATCAGTCAGCACACACTCTACTTTAGCTAGATGGCTTTGTATTAATTTAGTGAATTTTCCAGGTCAAGTATGTGGTCCCGAACTGATCAATACGATCGAACAGCTGAAAATCAGCCTGGACAACTTGAAGAACAGCAGCCATCCCAAAAAGGAGGAAGATGCCAAGAAGGTGGCCAGTAATGTGGAGGTGCCGAAACAAGTTCCTCCTGCCCAGACTCAGCCCGGTTATATTCCGCCGACGCAAGCCCCCGCTGTGCCTCAACAGCAGCCTCAGTTTATCCCACCTACCACGTCTGTAAGTCAACCGGCCACCGCGCTTCCACAGTCGATCCAGACAATGCAAACGTCGACGACTCAAGCCACGGCTCAGCAAATTCCGATCAGCCAAACGCCTTCGGTGGTTTCTCAACAGAACCAAGGAGCCGGTTTGCAGCAAAACCAGGTAGCAATTCAACTTTTCAGGTGTTAAAAGAGCCGCAATGAGTGGTTTTGTGGCCGTAGGTATCAATGCCAAGCGCGGGCCAAGTGATAAACCATTCTCAGCAGCCACAGCAGCAATACGTTGCGCCCACACAAAATGTGCCGCAATACACCCAACCTACACCCCAACAGGTTCCGGCTCATCAAACCTCTGCAGTTCAATACAGCCAGCAGCAAATGGCGCAAAATGCCCCAATTGCGCATGTAAATAATCCCCCAACGGGGCATATGGTCGCTTCGTCTTGTGAACAAGTCGGGACGATGCCGGTTCAGCCATCCTCTGCAGCAGGACAGCAGGGCTTTGTTCCTATTCCAGGCATTAATGGACAATATGTCCAAGGTGGACATCAGGTAAGGGTTTTGAGCTTGTCCCACTGAAATCCTGTTTAAGTTTTCCTAGTCAAATTTTTCTTCGAATGGTGATGATTTGGAGATATTTCAATTATCGTTCACGAATCGTTTCAGTACTTTTATGCAAATTGTAAGCATGGTCCAAATTTGGTACACTGTATCTATGAATGAACCAATTTTGAACGCATCGGTCCTTATTAGGGCGAGGATCTTTAAATAAAAGGGTTGCGTTTATTATGCTCTGATGAAAAAATAGTTCAAGTTAATATAAGATGGTGATTCAATTGTTGCAACCAGTTTTGGACCATGGTTTATAATTGGAGCATTTGATGGTCCATTATTGGATTGGATTGGATTGGATTATTAAGTCCAAAGCTCGAAACGGCTCCAAAAAGTTCAAAATCCTCTTCAAAATGAAGCAGATGGGGAATCAAAGATTCATACAGAAAGAGAATCCTGTTGTTAATCGGTAGCAGATTTACTCCTGACAAGATTCTGACCGCTTAAAATGCGACAATAGGAAAAATAGTCTTGAACAGATCCGCTATCCAAGGTCCATCCACAAATAAAACCAATGAGAAAATACCATCGCCATTTAAGCGAGCTGTCTTTTGGCTTGAAGAAATTATGGAAAATCTGTGAAAAACCAGTAAAAGAGAAACCACCATCAACCAACATCTCCAAAAATGTTTTAATATTTGGGGAAAGGCTGCGAAAAAAGATTTGAGCAATTGGAAAGAGAGAGGAAACGGAGTGGAAGAGGAAAGCAAACAAAGCTAAAGAATCAAAGAAGAATTGCCAAGTCAGTTTCTATTGAATCAACATCATCGGAAGATCGTCATTTCAGTGTGCAGGAATCTGGGGAATCTGACCAGCAAGTCAAAAAAATGTGTGATTAAAGGAGACGTTGTTCTGGCCGGTTTGTAGTCACTTACATACAATGGCCGAGGAACAAAAAAATAGGCAAAATTTCAATCAGATAAATGGATTGGTAGACAAGGCCCTATTGAGTGGCCTCCAAGATCGCCAGACCCAACGCCCAGTTGTCACCCTGTATAATGAATCTTCAAATAAAATACCATTCGATTTGATAATCCTTTATTACACATATAACAGCTTTCTTGAGCAATTATTCTTATCTTCCAGCAAATGCTTCCAAATATGACGTTGTCTCAACCGACTGCTCCTGCCGTCACACAGCTAACTTATCAAAACACTCCAGCTGGTCAGCAACCAATGGCAGCCGTCCAGCCACAGCAGCAAACGTTAATGTCGCCTCAACAGCAATTGATGACCCATCAAGTCTCTGCTAATCAGCCAAATGATGTCGTTTACCAGCAGCAGCAGCAGCAGCAGCAGGTCAGTTCTGGGTTTATTTTTTATCAACTTTCGTCCAAATCGACTTAACTTGAATTGTAGATGTTTGCCCAACCGCAGCAGATGTCGGCTTCCGGATCGGTGCAAAATTTAGCAACGGCTGCTCAGTTGGCTCAACAACCCGCTGTACATGGAGGCGGACAGTTTCAGCAATCTATGTCGATTGACGAAAATATGCAGGGTTACGCAAAGAAAGTCGCGCCAGATCTAAAGCACGTGATTGAAAAGTAAAGCTTGTTAAATTTGACCGATCCATTTCAATGAAACGTTTTTGTTTTCCGCAGCGGTTCTAATAGAACTAGTCAGGCATCTACTCCGCAGCAGGAGATTGTGTATGATGGCGCTTTCCAAAGGAATCTTCACCAAAGGTTGTCCAGTATTGGTCAGAATGTTGGGCCGTATGTGGCAAATACAACAGTAAGTTCTTTCAAGCTTATAAATTCCTGGTTAAATGCATAGCGTTTCTCTAAAGATCCACGTAAATTTTTTGAATGAAACCTTCATTGAACCTTTTTTAGGCCCCTTCAAGTCCTCACACATTAGTTACGTCCTTAGAGTTTCCACAAGATGGATCCACCACACTGCCCAACATAAATAAGGTTGGTCAATCGATTGTGAAAGGTTTAGTTGGTCTAAATTAATATTTTCCAGCTTCGCGTTGAATCAAGCAGCGCCCCGGTAAGTGGGATAAATTCATCCGAATTGTTATCGCCAGTCTTAGAAGCAGACAAGCAAATATCGAATAATCAACCGGCTCCTGTAGATGCTAAAATAAAGGATTTCAATGATCTGAATGACCAACTGAAGAAGATCAATGAGAAGCAGAATATTGAGAGGCAACAGGTAAGGCGTAGAAAAATATTAACCACCAATTAAACAATATGTATTGAATGGTGTGTAGTTTATTTGCAATTTTCAGGAAACTCAACCGCCATTGAATTTGTTGGAAATCAAAACGGTTGAAGCAATAGATGAGGCCAAGCGGGAATTAAAATTGGAACTGGAAAAGCTACATGAGGCTGGAACTACCGTAAATCAGGTCAGTTTTCTTAATATAGGCGTAGACTTTCAAGAAGTGATCTGTTTAGCCATGGTAGCCAAATGCGTACAGAAAGTGCAAGTTTGATCAGTTACTTTTTAGGTTTTAACTCTGTTCTCTTTTCTTCCCAGTTCAAACGGCGTGTTAGTATCTTTATCAAAGAGCAAAAATTAAAATTATTGCGCGTAAGTAAAGGCAGGAGTAATTTAGTTGTTTTCCCTCTCACTGATCCAGGTTTACTTAGATTTCATCTCCGCTAATACTAGGCTACGAGACGGTAGCAGATAGCGTACCCCCTAAAGTACAGTACTGTGCTCCTCTGATCCATAATGTAGATTTAAACACTTCCATTTCAAGGCAAATATCGAACGACTTTGTCTAGTAACTTTGAAAGATTCTTTTCGCCGACACTAACCCATAACTTCCACATTGAGTGTATTTGGAATTGTACCTGGGGCCGGCTTGCTCTTTGTCTGATTCAGGCTTTTTAGAGCTTATTCCATTAGTAGAAACTTTCATTCTTTTCCCACTTTTTGTCATCTGTTTTTAATTGAATAGCATGGGCGACTCTGGTCTTATTCCGATGACTAAAAGAGTTTTTCAATATGTTTTTTTCTAGAAACAGGTATACCTTTAAAGCATTGACACTTCATACATTTGTAATGATTGGTTAAATTAAAAAATAGAAATAGATTCATTTAGATTTGCTATTTACACATTCAATTTACCATCTTAGTCAGTTGCAGAAGGTTTTAATGTATGAATGTATTTTTTTTAAGTAGTAAGCTAAATGTTTTTTTACAGACTCTTCAGGACTCATCCCCAGACGCAGTAGGTCGACGGCCTTCCCAAGAACGACGAATCTCACGCTTTAAAGTAAGCGTTGTTAACGAACCCGATCGTAGCAAATTGACGCCGCCCATTTCGATGGAAGCAAAACCGATCTTTTCTGAGCAGCTCGTAAAACGAGAAAGCGAATCGGCCAGTAATAATATTGCTGCAGCAATCCCGCCCATGGCCAATGCCAATCCAGTGACGGGACAAAACAGTGAACACAAGGAAACATCCCATATTCAGATGGTTCAGACGAAGATTTCCGGACAGTTTAGGAGTGGAGCCACTCAGGGCGGAATGGGAGTATCTGGACCCCAAGGGCATGACTTCACTACAGTCATTAATACCACATTTGATTCTCTCAAGACTACTTTGGTTAAGTCATTGCCTAATACAGGAGGTGAGTGCTTAGTTGTTCTTCGAATGGTGAAATTCACGAGCGAATTGATTTTTTTCACCAACTCAATAGCTTCATTTTTGGAATACTTCCTCTAATTCAACGTATTCGTTTCAGAAGAACTGGCCACTACTGAGGAGGAGATCTCACAATTAAGGGTAAGTTTCTTGTCTTATTACGTTAAATGTAGCTGTTAACACTAGTGTTGTATCTTTGTTTGTTGCATTGTCATATTAGGGGGCCCGACGCTTCTCCAAGCAGTAATCATTTAAAAAGTAGAATTTGCACCTGGAAATGCTTACTGTTTGTAGCAACAGACCCTGCTCTTAATCATTCTGTGTTTGTCTTCGTGTATGCAATGTCGCTTTATATGTTGTTTGTACCTGCTGGACTTTCTGTGTTTAAGGTAGCGTTAAATTATTGCTCGTAAGGSCGGAATATTCACTTCCGGATAAACTTGCTGGTAATGAAATCTGCCGATAACAACACGATCCAGATATACTGTTTATCTGRCAGATACATTTATCTGCTCCTYCATCGACGTGCTATCTGGTTTATCGGAGTTCAACTTTTGTATATTGTGCTTTGATTTTGATTACGGAGATTTTTTTTTTAATTAAAAGAAGTCAACATATTTGAAAATGTAAATAATGGAAARSCGTATTATTATTATAGGGCTTTATTTATATTATTTACTGAAGAAAAAAACATGTGGACCAACGACTACTAATATACAGGGCGTCCCGTAAGCACATAATCAAACGGGACTGCSATATTATTTTTACYAAGAAAAATTGTCTGGATCCTCTGCTGCTGATGGTCAAAGTTCTTCAAAAAATATATTTTTTTAAACATCGATAGAATGATCGGTTGGATGTTAGCGAAACTCGCTGTCAATTTATTCCTATATAAGACTTGTGGTTTGATGAATGAACCGAGTTCACCCGCTTCGGGCAAGTGAGGAATTCTTGAGTGTCTTAGTACAAAAACTATCAGAACTTTTCATCTGGTTGCTCGAAACAACTGATTTTTTTTGAGTTTATGAACGAAACCTCTTACCATTTTAGTCCCCTTTGTAAACTCTTGTAGCATTCATAGTATTTGCGCACAAATGTTCCAGAACGATCAACTCATCAGTGCATCAACACAAAAAAATTCAATTGGTTCCAGCTACAAAATAAAAAGTTCTGGTGGTTTTTGAACCAAAACACTCAATAATTCTCCACTTCCCTAAAACGCATAAAATCGGTTGCTTCATAAAAATACCAGTGTATTATAACAAGAAAATTACTGCGAGTTTGTTTAAAATTCACGGAATCATTCTCCCGATATTTCAAATAATCATAATTCTTTTAAAGAACTTTGGCGATCCAAAGTCGGAGGAGCCGGACATTTTTTTTAAATAAGTTAGTTTACGTCTTCAGTTGAGCCAAAGAATGTCTTACGGGACACCCTGTTTATTAGTCGTTGATGTGGATTATCTAACGATCCGGGCGGCTTATAATTTAATAGAAGGTTTCAGTTAAAAACAGGAAGTGTTAATAATAGTCTTTGGGGTTCCTATTTGTTTTGTGCTAGGCTGAACATTAATTTTAGAGACTTTTCAAAACTTTTCCAGGTTTTTTTACTTCTACTTTATTGCGTAGTCAGTCATTTTATTTTCTATAACTGTAAAACATGTTTTAAATACTTTTTTCTTGGGTATTTTGCCTCAAAATGTTTGTCTTTTAAAATGAGGCAATTTATCACGTTCTTATTATAGATTGATAGAGTGCCTGACTTTACAATAAAGAACGAATTATTTATCATCAGAGCTATTAGCCACGACACATTTAGGGTCACGGTTTAAAAGGAAAATTCCAATTAGTTAAGAAACTAATTTAGAAAATTTACATTTCGATAGCCACAAAGTATTCTACTACACACTTAGGCTCAAGCTGTAATAGAAAAAAATCCAATTAGTAAAGAAATTAATTTCCAAAGGCTGCCTTGACGTTGCAAGGTAACGAAACTTCGTCTGCATTGACAAACATTTTGAGGAAAAACATCCAACAAAAAGGTTTCGAAAACGTGATTCCGCTCTAACCATATAGAAATTATCTTCCCAATATTTGTTGAATCTTGACTGACTACCAGCTCAAGTGCGCTATTTGTAAAATGGTTGATCGTTTCGTTTTTTTATTTGCTATACAGATATTCGCTAGTCAGTTTATCTCACAGATAAATTAGGATGAAACCACAGACATGTTTATCAGAAAGTGAGTAAACTTGGCCTTAAAATGGCATTCCATCAGATTAGAATTATACGGGAGCTTTTATTCACTGTTAGCTCAAATGCATAATTGTTATTAAAGTGCGCACTTTAAAGCTGTTGGTAGGAGTATTCCAGTCTTATCAAGAACAAAACTACTGACAATAAATTAAACAGCAAAATGACCGAAATAGACCAGAGAAACGTTCAAAACATTTACATGGCAGTTAAAATGTACTAATCAGTAAAAGAGTATTAAAAAAAAATGGAGAATCACTTTAAGTTTAGAGGAAGTACATTCGAGATACTCCACTTTGTAACTCCATATCACATAAATCTTCCGCTTTCATAGTTTCTCCTGAGTTTTCAAACCCATCTCAACTACAATTTGTCATAAACTTGCCTAACACATTTACGTTTATTTTCCAGTGTATTATAATTTTTGTATTTGTAGCATCGTCCTACCACCGCAACCCTTATCACGAGCGTCGCTCAACCAATAGCCGTTAAATCGCTATTAAATACCGTCATATCTCACCCTAAAACTAGCACAGCAAGTCGTCCTTTGCGAAAATCCCTCAGCTATGTAGACCTGAAACGGGAAATAGAGAATATTCTGCCCATTTGCAGCAAAAGCGAGGAAGAGAATGTGCGTAGAGCCTATTTCGGGGGACGTAGACAATCAAAGACTTTTCGCCAATTTCCCCAAATCGTCGTAGTGCCCCCTGAAAGTGACTGTTTAACGTCCAGTATGCCCGATATTCATAAGTCTGTGGAAGAATCGCAAAGAGCCGCTGAAAACCTTTCAGTAGTGCTGAATAATGTGTCGGATAAAAACGCTTCGTGTCCTGATCTTACTGATACGAAAATATACAAGATGCCCGATATGAGTTACCCGACCATGTTGCTGGGTAGTGGGCAGGTTGTTAAGCCCAAGCCCAATCAAGAGAGGTCCCGGAAAATAAACACCGCTGTAGTGTTGGAAAGTCAGGGGTGTTTGAAAGAAGCGGCTGCCAAACGAACTGGAGGGCTTAAGAGGAAAAAGAGGATTGAGACACCCACTGAGGTCATAAAGCGAAACTGGAAAGTGAAACACTCCAAGTCGATGCACAATTTGCTCAAAGCAGTGTCCAAAACTAGAGTTAAGGAGCAACACTATTATACGATACACTCTTCCGATCAGTTCTCTAGAACTTCAGCAGAACGACTAAACACGAATCAGCATTATGGATCGTCTGAGAGTTTACCAAGCATGAATCAACATCACTTTGGCTGTGGCAGGCAATATAATTCCCATTTCCCAAGACATTCTAATAGAACTACTGATAACATTACCCATGGACATTACTTAAAATATGGCAAATCAGATACAGCATTTAGACCACCTCCGGCTTTGCATCATGATTTCAGGTGCAGCTGCGGTTCTGCCCAACAATTCGGCTTTATGCAACGCAGCGTTTCGTGTCAAAACATTACTTGTCCGGGCTTAATAGACTTTCCCCGATACCCGATTTATTCAGCAAACCCTAATTTTCTGCCCCATAATCCCTCTGTGTTATGTGCCTCATGTGGCCATAACTGGTCGATGAGATCCGCTACTGCTCATGCAGGCTGTTGTGAAATGGCCCACGTTGGATCAGGCCCAAGTTGCGACTGTTCCAGGGACAAAATTAAAAGGGTGGTCCCTATTGAGGAATATTTGGAAACTTATTTTGATAGTGACATGGTAAGAATTCACACATCGGACTGGAATGGCGTGCTGGGCTGTGCCAACTTTTCTTCCATTTCCCACTTCATAACGACAATCACCAATAGATTTTAGAGCTTTTAAAATTAGAGGTGGCATTGGTGGATTGGGAGACTGAATAGCATGCTTGGGATTGTCTCGGTGGTGGATGATTCAGGGCTAAATCTCATCTAATTTCCCTTGAACTACTTAGCTTCTAATGACATAGTATGCAAGTGTATGTAATTCACAATTTTTTCACCGGTCTTAAGACTGGCCAATTGTTGCTTAAGCTTTACCTTAGAATACTTTGTAAACCACACGAAGAACACACATGCTTCCTTAATATTTTCACTGTGATTGTGTAACAAGTATGGTTTTGTCAATAGGAGGAAACTTTCGAAGAAATGCTCAATAGACAGAAAGCCGAACTGAACGCATTAATGGAAGCTCACAGAAGACAGCAGTTGGAATATATGGGCAAGTACAAGAGGCAGAAAGATCGAGGAGATACTTAGAGACGTTTCATCGGGGGAATATTGAAGGTAAATTGCGGCAATTAAAGTGTTGAGACCACGATGACTAATTAGCGGTTTTTGTTTCAGAGTGAACGAATACTACCAAGAAAAATAAAAGATGATTAGTGAAAAAATTGTGAGAATGAAGGCTGTATAATCATAATTATTGTTTATATTGTATAATATTGATTTAAATGTCTAGTTTATTAATTATATTTGCTAATAATTTATTTTTAATATCCTGTTATTCTAGTTTATTGTTTTATTATGATGGAAATAATTGATCAATAAAATCTTACTATAGGGATTATTCAATGAAGTTGCTTCTGATCGATAAATGTGGAAATTACAGGATTCAATCAACTGTTAAACATTATATTACAACAAACAGGAAATTATAATAAGAACTAAAAAAATAAGTTGATTTGTACTTAAAGCAAAGCGGTATCAATAAAAGGCAAATATAGTAAACTTAGCCCAAAATTTCTTGGAAAGTGCTGTTACGATAACCCACTTCACTTGTTGCCGCGTTCAGGAAGTGAATGTAAATTCTGCAACAGAGATTTAAACCCCCAATTAAACGACTTGTTAAAACCGTAGAGGGTTTCTTAGAACTAGGCTAGAGACTTACCTGTCTGACGGTACTCCCAGGGTTTTTTCAACGATCTCGCATAATGCCTTGGAATGTTTCTTGTTTTCAGCCGGTCCTAAGCCGCCAATGCTCATCAAAGTGGCTTGAGCTGCTGGTGCGTCCGATCCACCAAACGAAATATTCACGCCTCCCACAACAGTTGCCACACAGAACTGTAATTAAAAGTTTGAATTAAATTAATGAAATCATGGAAAATAAGCTAGTAATGCAGGGGGTTTGTGGCTGCAGCGAAAGATCTTGAATACCTCGATCTGAGCTCCAAAAGATCTTAAGAAGTTACAATTACAATAATTGCGGGCTGTTTCAAGACGCTGAATCTAATGGTGATTCACTTTCACTCACGATTATTTGCAGGGATAGACGATATGGGCTCAACCTACTGAGTACAAGGTGTCTTTAAACGCAGTTTCTATACTGTAACTCCAAGGAGTTCTATAAATTGTACAAGAGTTTCAAAGTTATACATTTTTGGATTTAGGGTTGCGTAACTCATACCTTCTACTTCCGGGTCAAAAAACTCCTGAAACTGGACATTTTTATTCGCTGGATTTTCAAAGTTACGAATTTTTACATCCAAGTTTGCACAAGTAGTTGCGACTAACTGCTTTTTAACTGTGTTATCAATGTAAATATAACTTTTCACAGTTTTAAACAAATAATTTTTCTATGAAATTCTGGAAGATTAGCTTTGAATTCGATAGTTTTTGGATTTTATGAATTTTTGAATGAAAACGTTCATTTATGGAAACACTACTTTTGAGTAAGAAAAAAAACCTGAAGCTCGGTAGTCACTTTCATATGACGAAACTTGTGTTCATTTTTATTTGGTCGATTTTCAAAGTTATAATTTTTTCATTCAGGCTTACATAATTGCGACTCGCTACTTCTGAGCTAGAAAACATTCCTGTGAATCAAAAAGCAGTTTAAATAACTTGCGACTAAATTATACAAAGACTTCTATGGATTTCTCAAAGTTTGGCGTTTTATTCGCTCGATTTTTGAAACTATGAATTTTCACATTGGGATTTGCATAATTGCGACAAATTTAATTACAAAATTCAGAACTTTAAAGGAAGAAAAATTGCTGAAACTCCGACGATCAATGCCAATTGGAGGAAACTTTTGTACTTTTAAACAAAGCAGTTTTCTGCGGATTTTTGAAATTACAGTTTGTTACACGCTCGATTTTAAAATTAATGAATTTTTAGATTAAAGCTTGTACACTTGCCGCTCACTATGTCCTGGCAAAAAAACATTCTTAAATTAATAGAAACAGCTTCAACGGCATGAAACTTTCTAAACTATTATAGTAGGCTCGTGCCGATGCAAATTTGATATAATAAGACAAATTTATAACAGGCAAAGACCAGGTGGAAAATTTTGAGGTGCCAGCTTTAAGAAAAAATTACAATTTAACTCAAACAACACTGTAAAATTATGTCTTTGGTGATGATTTAGCGTGTTTTGTTTTGCACTTCCGGAGACGAATTTTCGAGTTAAGTACATTTTTAGAAAAAACTACTCTTAGTTTCCAAGAACAATTGTCTTGATATTTTTTTGCATTTTGAAAGTCATTTGCGGTCAATGTAATCGTTGAAATGTCTACGTTAAAATGGTCCATGCAAAAGATTTTTTCAGTAATTTCAATGGTTTTCGATTTTATTCATTATTTCTGTTAATAGTGGACGATATTTACATAATATAAGTTGCTTTTATGTAATATTATTACAATTAAAAGGGTAGCACAGTTAGTTAGTCGCCTTCTGAACTACAAAAAAATCATGCTTATTCAGCACGAAAAAATAACATAATTTTACAAACTTTCATGTAAATCAAATCATTTATGCCCGTGAAAAAAAATGAAAAAGTGAAACTAAGTTAGTCACGATTCGCCGCAAATCGCAAAAAACCGTTTCCAACCCCTAAACCGCGTCCTAATTTCACCATTTCCAGTGTTTAATTTTCTTCTTTAACTTCGAACCTTAACAACATTTTCTATCGGGTTCTTGCCTGTTATTATTTTTTTTCAAAAAAATATTTGCGCTAGGCTATAAATAAAGATTTCTTCTATAATTTTCTGAAATACCAACCTTCTAATCGTTCGATTTTTTAAGATAAATTTTTAAATTTTAAACTGTATGAAGTATTTTGTATTATTTACTCTCATTATTATATTCGTGCAGCTTGTAGTTGCAAGAAAACGCAATTGAAAATAATCCGGCATTTCGGTCTACCATTTGGTGCATAATGCGAGAGCAAAATTACCGAACTCGTATGAACGAACGTGTTCTATTGTTCCTAAGACCCTAAATAATTTGAGGTACAGAAGATTCATTTTTTGCTTAGTCGGAACGCGAGTTTAAATGTTGCTGTTTGAATGATGATGGAATGAAATCATTCCTAACTTTTCATTCATTTTCTTCAGATGCCGAATGAAAGACTTTAAAAGTGTGTATGTGTTTTTTAAAGTAAATTGTGGACCATCCAACATTTTTTTCTCGCTGAAACTGCTTAATATAAAGTGTTCTTTAAGGTAAAAGAACAAAAAACTAAAAAATTGGAAGTACTCAAACGACATGTTCACTTTATTAACATAACACCGCCCTGCTCGTCACTAGATAAAATGAGCTAAACGTTTTTTTTATCCTACATACGTATTTACTGAATATGTTAAATGCGAGGCGTAACTTCTGGTCAAATTTAGGATTCTCTGTGATCTGGTCGAATTTTTACACATAGGAAAATAATGTGAAGAACTAAAAACCTCAAGACCGACACCATTTAATTGGAATGCTTCTCCAGATTACCGAAAAATCCAGTTTATAGTGAAAGAATTATCTGTATTGTTTGTACTTAGAAGCGCATTCAGCTTCATTTTAGTGATGAAATATGACTTTCAAAATACTTTGAGTCCAAAGATGAAGTCCAGTCGCTTACATAATAGGAATTACACATAAAACATACTTACACTGACTGGTTTTCCCAAAGAAGATGCCAGAACGGCGCAAATTTTGGCCGCAAAATCTTTGGGAATTTTCTCCACGGGGACATTGGTTTCAAGACGAAAATGAGGCATCTTTGATAATAATTGTGAGAATCTATCTGTACTCTGTCTGTACACTGTAGCGAATCGGTCACTTCTAAAATCCACAGAAATGATAAAAAAAATTGTTAAATTGCATTGGTTAGAATTAGTCTTTTGACATCTTGTGTGAAGGTTGGGAGCTTTTCTCGTCTTCTTCACCAATTTTGCCTTTTAAACAAAGAATTTTTACTTCAAAATTCAATAATTTCTCATTACCTTTTTCTCTTATATGATACCTACCGAATTTAAAACACATCAACACAAAAAAAAGCGTACTGTAAAAATAAAAAGTATTTTAACCACATTTAATAGTTTGAATACCAGTCGAACTTTTAACCGCAAAATATTCAAATTCAAACTCCGCGTAACCTAACATATGCCTAAGGTAAACAATGGGAATTAAACATTTGTGGACTGTATTGGCCCCCTTTTGTGACAGGAAGCCCCTTTACGAGTTGCAAGGCAAAACGGTGGCAGTAGATTTGTCCTGCTGGATATGTGAGGCCCAAAATATCGCCGAATATCAAGTGCAACCTCGAATGTACTTAAGGTAAGCAATGATCGGTGATGGTAAGCCAGCTCCACACATCAGGACTATACTAGGAAGGTTTATTTCATTGCGTTATATATTTAAGAAAGTTTTGTCTATTTTAATGAGGGTGATACAAAATAAATAATATTTAAACTAGACGTCAACTGATAAACTTCTGGTTTTACCATTTTACTTGTCGATTGTCGAAAGGTCCAGCAGATTTTATAGCAAAACACACTGTATATACACTATATTCAGTGTTATTTAATTCTCTATCCAACATGGCAGGAATGAGCGCATTAGGCAATTGTGCGCCTGAGATATCAGCAAAAAGGTGGTCAGGTTTAAAGTGAATGTCTTAATTTATACCTACCTAAATGTAGAATATTCAAATTTTACTTTTTGTGTGAAATCTATCATTATAAACTCTTGTTTAACGTGGCAAATTTCTCTATTCAGTGGTAGGGAAATAGTGGGTGTTTTTTTCGCGATACGCTCAGAAAAACCTTAGTGAACCGATAAAACGAACAACCAAGTTGCTAGTTCGCCCCATTTCTTTCCAAAATTGCGCCTGCCTTTATTTACAGCAAATCTCTTATGTCTTATGTTTTATATGAAAAAGTGCACTCTATTGAAAAACTTATTTCAGAAACTTGTACTTTCGCACATGCTACCTTCTGCTAATGGACGTTAATCCTGTTTTTGTATTGGAAGGAAAAGCTCCTCAGTTAAAGTACGATACGATCAGTGCCAGGAATGCCATTCAATTCAAAGGAGCGAAGCCAAAAAAAGACGGTCTGAAAACGGGCAAAGACAGATCCAGGTAAACCTTGCACACGGTGAAAAAGGGAAATTACTAGCCTTATATGCTTCGTCTAGATTCCATTTTGTGTTGAGACAATGTGAGGAAATGTTGGGCTATTTGGGTATAGCTTGCATTAAGGGCAATGGCGAAGCGGAAAGTTTATGCGCTTATTTAAACGACGATGGTGTAAGTGCGAGCTGAACCATTCAAATCACACAAACTAATCAGTTCTACCTAGCTGGTGGATGGTTGTATTAGTCAAGACTCCGATTGCTTTGCCTATGGAGCTAAAGTAGTGTATAGAAACTTCTCAATTTCCACTCAAGGTATTCAGTCAGCAAGTGGCGGAGCTGTGGATATCTACGATATTGAAAAGGCATATAAAGCTCTAAGTAAATATTTAGTTTAATCATAATCTTTTTGCTTATTTGTTAATATTTTTGCAGAATTAGGCAGAAAGAAGATCGTGGCCATGGCACTTCTGATTGGGTCAGACTACTCAGATGGAATTCATGGTATTGGCAAAGATTCGGTTTTGAAATTTTTCGAGAACATCTCAGATGAAGAGGTTTTGGATCGACTGAGGTTGATTAAAATTTTCTGGCTTAAGCCATTTTACAGTTTACTTTTATTTTCAGGTCATGGAGGAATAATGAGAGCGTTTTCCAAAACCACGAGAAGCAATTGAATGATAAAAATATCTGCACTTCTTGTGGGCATAGTGGAAAGTTGCAGTCCCATACCAGAAATGGTAGATTCTTTAATGCGCAATGTGTTTCTGGTGACAATAAAGTGTTTTTTGAAGGTTGCAAAAGCTGCGAAACGGCCAAAGGCTGTGATCAATTTAAATACAAAGACGAGAGAGTAAGAGTGAAGAACGAAGTGGCAATGCGCAGCAAAGCCATGCAGGATCCAAATTTTCCCGATGAGGCTATAATAAAGGAGTTTTTAGATCGGAAGGATCATGTTAAGGAACTGGAGTTAACTTGGAAGCAACCAAATCTTGTACAATTTGTGGTAAGTGGTCTTACTCATTTCTACACAGAGAGAAATGTTTTTACTCGTGCATAGTGAAGGGACATTCGAAGTTAAAAATTACCCGGGGCTAAAATTGGTTAAATGGGGAAGGTTTACAGTTTTGACATTTGCATTAGATACGGAAATTAAATTAAAACTGCGAAATATTAAAGTGCATGTGTAATTACCAAATTATCAGTAGATTTAGCTTTTGCGGATGTTTGCAATTTTCGACTTATTTTTCTTTAACAATCAGTCTTTTGCCAATAAAACTATAGTGTAATTGTGATTTCAGAAATTCACAACGAAATTTCTGCAATGGGAAGAAATTTACTCATTTCAAAAGATTTTACCCATATTGACGCGATGGCAATGCCGATATTACAAAGTTCTCCAAACACAGCCAAAGTTAAAAGGCATGTTGAAGGCAGATCGAATTAAAAAGGTCAGGAACCCCAAAGGTAATTGATATCTTACAAAATATCCGTTTTGTGCTAACTTGTTCCGCTTTAAGCAATTGAATTCTTAAAAATCGCTCGAATTTTATATTGGGGTTTAGGTGTGCCTAGTTATGAAATCATCTGGTCTGATCCCAACGAATACTTCAAAGGCATAATACCGGAAAATCAAATTGTGGACAGTAACATTGAGCTGGAAAAGCTTTGGTCGACAATTGAGCCTCAAAGTTTAGTAGAAACCGCCTATCCCGAACTGGTTGAGGCATTTAGACAGTCAAAAGTTAAGCCGAAAAAGGCAGGGAAACGGAAAAAGCGCGCCCAAATTGATGAATTATCGGAAAGCTTGGGGAATGTATCAATTTCTGAGCCCAAAGTGAAAAAACCCAGAAAACCCAGGGCCAACAAAAAAGTCAACGAAAAGAAGGACATCGATGAGCTTAACTCCAGTCTTCAGCTGCTGACAATGGAGGAAGATCGTCCGGAGGACTGTGACAATAAAAACGAATTTGACGTGAGAAGAAAATCGGTTCGGACAAAAACTTTGGACAATTTCGTCAAAAGGGCTGTGGTGAACTCTTACAATCAAAAATCGTTAAACTGTTCAATGCTGGATAGGATTTCGACGCCCATCAAAGCCAATAGATGCCCTGATCTTGACACATCCTCATTTGGAGAAGATGATGAGGATGATCTGGACCTATCTGAAATAATCAATGAGATTGTATCCAAGAAACATTATCCGAGTACCTTAAAGGTGGTTTCAACTCCTGAAGGATCCGACGTTTTAATGCATGATGAGCTCAGCAGATCATATTCTTCAAGTTTCTTCATATCGAATAACCCAGATGGCGCCGATCTCTTTGAGCAGGCCGTTAACAATACATTTAATGAGGTTTTAAGAGGAAATAGCAGCGAAAGTTGCACGGATGAGGACGACTTGGATGATGAACCGAAGGCTTCTTCAGAAGCCACTCCGGAATGTCCGAGTTCCGACGATGATAGTTTCTGTGTTAAACCCTACGTGCCATTGTATGAGAGACTGAAAAGGGTGTGAAGTTTTTGCGAGTTTGTGGGAATTTGCCGTTTTATTTGTTACTGAGCATATGAAGACGTTGAGTACTTTTGCTCTAATTTCAATTTAAAATAAGGAACTGCGACTTGTATATTTTTATTTACTATTTTGTTTTATTTTATACTGTATTATCAATAAATGTCTTCAAAACTAATAAATAAATTATTTCAGAAATTTGGATGGTAAATCTTGATGAAGTTGAAAATAGTGTTCAATGGGAATTTTAGTCGTTTCATCGATTATTGTTAGGGGAATTGAGTATTGTATCTTGGCTTCGGAGCTTCGTCAGTAAATGCGTTTAAACAATTATTTGTTTTCATGAATCTATTGATAAAATTGCAATCTCAATGGAAAATCACCTTTTTGGAGCTTTTGTACTTGATGCACATGAAGCCTTCAAATGTCATAAATACGACTTTTTATTTGCTTTGTTAGTTCAGTCATCATTTTGTTTGTCAACTTTTAAATGCAATGAATCAATTTATCCCTGAAATAAACAAAACCCGAACTTGAACGGATGAAGGGATTGACAAAGCGTTATTTTGCTTTTTTCACCTCGTTTTTACGTAAAATGTTTCTATTTCCTTCTGAATTCGCCGTATAAACCATTATTTTTGTCTGCATAACACTCAATAATTAATTAATTAATTATTGTCTACAAGAAGCCGACGAATGATTTATACAGAAAAAATCCAAAAATACAGAAAATTTTTATTTTTAAGTGACTTCAAAATTGGGAAAATCAACTCACCAACGAAAAAAAAACCACCAATTGCGAGTTTTACGCTATTTCTGACAAATAGCATGATTTTTTTGCTTGTTGTGAATAAAACACATTTTTTTAAATACAGAGAAAAATTTTAATTTAGAAATTTTCAATGTTGATATGGTATAATTATGTACATGGGGGTAAAAATCATCAATAAAAACAAGGCATCTTAAAGACTTAACACTCTCTAGACAAGTATGAAACAGCGTTAACATAAGCATTAAAAATTGTCAACTTTATCGAGATTGAAACTCAAATTGCTTGTACCAAATATTTCCAGACAGTTAAATACAATTGTTGTTCTATTGGTGTAAGCATTTTGATTTTCACGCATTTGCTTCCGTATTTCGCTCTGTAAGTACTAATTAACTTTGCTGTGGGAAATTAATACTTTGCAGGCAGAAAAATGGGAAGCTACATATGAACGGAAATAAAACGTACATAAAGGATCGTGTTGATAACAAAGATTTTTTTCTCCAAAAAAGAGAAAACTATATCCTCTAAATCTCTACATGGATTTCTTTAAAAATGTGCATTTTTATACATATTTTTGCTACATATATGCCTCAGTTAAGACAAAAGTTTACGTATTTGAGTTTTTACAATTTACTTGAGTACAAAGGGTACACAATTTGTTTTTAAAGACTTTATGGAACACACATGAAACGTACTGTTCAACATGGAAAATCATCGAGGCAAATTTTTTAAGTGTGTTCAGTTAGTTCCGAAAAACGATTAGTTAAATTCTAAGTAATATTGCACAATTTTCGATTTTTCGTGCCGGCGTAATCAACTAAATTTGTAAACCAAAATAATTTGACTGATTTTTTTATGTTTATAAAAAGTTGATAAATTCTTTGTTATTTTGGACTGGGCGAACTATATAACATTGTTTCAGGGTAATATGGGACTTAACGTTAACGATATGTTCAAGAAAATGTATATAATCTATTTTACAAATATTTGGGGGAAATTAAAGCTTCGAAAAGTTATTACGTTATAAAAATGAGATCTTGAAAACCGATTTGCGACATTTTATTCGATATTTTGTTTGTTTAGTTATTCGAAGGGTTGCATTTACTGGCCGTCTTTATTTAGTTGCTTATTACAAAGTAAACGTGGTATTATTTTATGCTCGTAACACTGATGCCCATTGCTTCAATAGTCATAATTAAAAGTTAATCACTGGCTTTAATATTTTGCATTTCCAGGCCTGTCGAGAGCAAACTCATTTCTATTGGTAGACTAGACTATTCAAGGAAAAAGACTCATTTCAAAATTAAAATTATACAATATTTTTTAAAAATAATTAGCTTAATCGATAGTGCTATTATCATTATTTTGATTGTGATATTATGTACAAAACTTTGGGGAAACAGTAGAAAGTATGTTTTTACATCTAAAAAAACTTATGCTTAGTACGTATTTATCTATAACAATGTGTATAAAACGTGCCCGTTATTTGACAAGAAATGAGCAGTTTTTAAGGACAACTTAGAAAGTGTTGGGGGGCTTGTAACATGGAGCATTGTAACTGTCTTTGTACATATTTTTCATTTGTGTCAAGTAACGGACGATTTTATATTTGCGAAAGGGCACTGCTGAATCTTAATCTTGAAATGAATAGAACTCGAGCAATTTCAATACCCTGTAAGTGCAATGGAAAGCAAAAATCATTGAACTGATTGAAACTGTATGAAAATATGGCTCTCTTGATAAAGATTCATTTAGAACTAGATTTAAGTCAGTAGGTACCCCTTTTATATGTATAATAATTTTGGCCAAAAGTTGCAAGGAGGCAAATTGAAAACTCGAAGCACGAAAAATGATAAAAATTTACGAAACAAACATTTAGCATATATCACAAAATGTGTAAAACATTTCTCATACTTTTAGCCTTACTTATCGTTTAAAAGTACGGACTAAAACATTTTTAATATAACGGGTAACAGTCTTTTTTAACTACTAAAATTGCTATTTATAATACAAGTAAAAAATGTGAACAACTATCTTCTCTGGTTCCTGCATACGATAAGCTCAACAAGTTCAATTCTTTCACGGTTGAGGGGTATGCAAGACCTGAGTACCAAATGATAAATATCGAATATCATAGATACAAGGTTGGAAAAAATTTAAAACTTGGCAAGACGTACGATTTTTTGCATATAAATGTTTACATGCATCACTGAAACTTATCGTAACAAAAGGAGCCTTACAACTAATAAATTAAATAAAACATCACATTTCATGTATAAATATTATTCGCTTTCAGTTGCTATAATACTATAATCAACTCAGTTGCAAAATGGTTAAGAATGGTTGCATTCTTACGTTTTGGATGATTGCACTTGTTTAAAATATAATGTACAGAATGTAGTTTCGAATTAACTAACTTTTTACAACTAACTGTTTGGTTTATATTAGATTTCCCCGTTCCAAATATTCGAGATTGTTTCCAGGGCAAAATAGTTCACCTCAAATACACTCTTGTCTTTGGATTTCATTACACCGTGTTTACCTCACTTTACTTTTTTACGCCGATTAATACTTCATAGCCATCGGGGTCTTTTCTTTTAAATTCAGCTCTTATCTTGCTCTGTCATATATACACGGTTTTGGTTTATTTTACAAAACTTCTATACACATTCATTTTTTTTTTGGTTTATTTTATAGACCATCCCCTGGGACGTATCTACACGTTTGGTTTCGGCCTAATCTACTTATAGGCCAACAAAATCACATTTATCTATCCTCATCTAATTCTCACCATTCAGCTCAATACTCCCATCTTTCATCTTCAACTTCGGTTTTAACTTCTTTACGTTCACTGTTATTTTCTCTTTCGGGTTCATTGATATCATTGATATGACTTTCACGTTCCGGTGGTTCAGCATTGAGTCTATTGAGCCGCTCACTCTCATGCGATTGAACCGGATGTTCTTCATGGCTCACACTGCTCGTATCACTTCGGTCATCTTCATATCGGTCCAAAACCGCTTGCGGTTCCACTCGCACAGTTTCTTCAGCTGAGGCTCGCCGAGGGGCATAATTGTCGTCTGTTTGCATCACACAGACCTGGAAAAGAAACGTCGTTTACTGTATTGATTCAATATTGAGGGTATTTTTGAAACCAAGAAAATCGGAGGGTTTTCAACCTGCAGACATTGAAATTTAAGCAAAAAATTTATTTTTCTAGCTGCAATTATAACTTTGTAATTTCCTGATTTATTTTACGCCTCATTTTCTTTATAAATTTCTGCATAACAATGCAGATAAGTTTGGACAAAAAACTTGACAAGTTGAGTTTGAATTTCACTATTATTTATGCAGCTCGGAGTTTAACACTTTTTTCCTCAGAAAGTCAGCAAAACTGGAGAGTTTTTTGTAATTGGTTGGTCAACGTCTGTTCTCTCAGAGCAAAACGTTTCGATTTTAATTGTCATTATCAGGCAATTTTCAAGAATTTTTCAAACTCGTGTCTGGCTTTTGTGGTAGTTTGCTGGTCAAAAGTTAGCATTTATTTCATCTGTAAATTGCAAAGTGAGAAAGTCAATTTCGAATTAATTCTAAAGGGCAAAGTTTCTTGTGGAATTGTGGAAGTTTCAATCTTTAGTCATCATCAGACAATTTTTAAGATTTAAAAAATTGGTGTCTAGTTTTGTGGTGATTCCGTCAGGCCGGAGCATTTATTTATTCAGGAACTTGCATGTATTTCACAGTGCAAAGTCTGTTCGATCAGTGCCAAAAGTTTCGATTTTCAGTCATCAGGCAATTTTCAAAAATTTTTTCCTTCTGGTTTTCGTGGTGTTTTTTGCAGGCCGCAGTCTTAATCGTAATCGCCGTCGTCGTAATTAGCAAAGTGAGAAAGTCAATTTTGGATGCATTTAGTAGGGCGAAATCCCTTATATGAGTGTAGTAAGTTTCAATATTTAGTCAGGATCCCGAAATTTTCAAGAATTTTTAAAAATCGAATCTGGTTTCGTGAGGGTTTTTACAAGCCGAAGTTTGGCATTTATTTAGGAACTAACGAATTTAGACGGTCGTTTCTGTATGTATTTTACAGCGCAAAGTCGGTTCGACCAGCGCCAAAAGTTTCGAATTTCAGTCATTATCAGGCAATGTTGAAGAATTTTTCAAACCCACCCCTGGCTTTCGTGGTATTTTTTGCAGGCCAGAGTTTAGCTATTAATTTATCTCTAAATTGCAAAGCAAGGAAGTCAATTTCGGATGCATTTTAATGGGAAAAGCCTCTTGTATAAATGTAGACAGTTTCTATTTTCAGTCATCAGGCAATTTTAAAACAATTTTCAAATTTGAATATTTAAGCAGATGGTTAGTTTGAAATTTATTGATACACTTGTATCATACACGTAGGGTAAAGTCTGCTCAAGTGGAAAAAGTTTCGATTTTGAATTATCTGCAGGGAATTTTCGGCATTTTTTTTTTAATTTTGCGCTTCGTTATGCCGGTCTTGTATAATTCCAATTTATTTCAAAACGCATTTCAATTCACAACTTGAATTAAATGTAATTTTTAAAAGTGGTTTTGCAGCAAACATTTGTTTGACAATCTTCGGTAATCTACCAGTTTAGGTTTAGATGGTGGTGTTAAATTTAAAAAAAATAAAAGAATAGTGAGTGTTGAACCTTTTTTCACTTTAAAAGCGTTTTTGGAGGCGAATTTAATACGACGAAAATAAATTTAACGCAAACACAATGTTTTTTTTTTGAAAAACGGCAAAACTTTTGCAAAATTGGTCAAAACGCGCTCTCAAAAGTACGTCAATTCTCAACGTTGCGTAACGATTTAGAAAACTTGACGATTTTTTTTTGTTTTTGCTTGGAAAGTTTTTATAATTTTTTTTCAGGTTTGAGTTATTATTAAAACCAATTTACGTTTGGTTTTAAAATACTTTTAACAAAATCTGAACATTTTTTGCACTGATTTAAAATTATTTTGTGTCTGTTATAGGTGTATTAAATGCAATTTTTTGCTGAAAATGTACTCATAACTTTGTTAATAATTTGAAAAATTCAATAAACACTTTGTCTGTTAAGCAATAGCCATTCACCCACACAATTAAAAAAATCTCCATTTCAAAGCAAATTACTTCAAAAATGCGGTTTAACTGGCAAGCCGAAACTTATCCAAAAATCCAAAGCGACTCAAAAAACTCACCCCATTGATAATGACTTCATCTTGATTGCTTTGGCCTTTTTCTTGGGTGTGCGAGTTTTTCTCCTCTTCCCAATGCGGATTCACCCACATTGGAGCAGCTGGTTTCCTCCTGGAAGATCTTCCCTGATTTTGATTTGTACTGCAAATCAACACGTGCATTATAGCAACGATTTTCCCCCCATCCATGCAAACATTTTCCTACCTAGATATGCTAGTTTCCTTGCCAACGTCATTCTTCGCGTCCTCTTGTAAGCTACCGGAGTTATTCGAGTCTTCCGAACCGACATTCGATTCAACATCGTCTTCGTCCTCAAACTCGTTCGGTTCGCGTTTAAGGGAAGTCATACTGAGATCAAGCCCACTCATTTGTTCCTTCACGGCATTGTTTAGTGCTGATAAATCCCCAAGGTCTCCTAGAAGAAACAGTAAATATTCTTTAGTTAATTGCGATTTATATTAAATCAGTTGATGCTCACCAGTTGGTAGCAACCCTCTGGAAATGAGCGCCGCCAGGCTGGTATTGGCCGCAAGGTATGGAGGGTAAGGCAGTGGCACGCCAGCCAATCCCATCCGCTCCTTGCTCAGTTCCATAAGTCTTTGGTTTAAAAGCATTCTGAATTGTACAGGATCAAAAGGTTGCTGCGAAGAGTTCTGATCGCGGGGAGGAATGTCTGAGGGTATGGCGTGTGGTACTTGTTGTTTCAGTCTCATGCGGTGATTGTGGAACCTACACCAACAACTCATTGAAGTCGGCTGTTTTATCGCTTGCTGCTAAGTGGGACTTACCAGTTGGTAATCGTTCTGCTACTCAAGCTCAGCTCCTGAGCTAAAAACTCGATGGTAGCCACGTTTGGGTACGGATCCAAAGCAAAGGCTAGACGAAGAGCCTCTTTTTGCTCCTCACTGAAGAGTACGCGTTGTTTTTTGGCACTGGTGGGCCCTTGCGGGCCTGGACTATTCGAATGGTAGAACTCTGAGGTATCATTGCTGGACGTGTCGCTGGAATTATCGTGGCCAGGACCTGAGCTGCGTCGTCTCTTATTCGCCTCACGCCGTTCGTTTTTCAAAGCCTGCAATCTGGATGATGATTATTAGTAAGCGATTTCCTCAAACGGCCATTCTACCCCATACCTGTCGACATTGTGAGTGTCTTGCAGCCATAATTGCATCCGAATGAACGGCTCCCTGCCCTTGATCGACAACATGTGCCAAGGCTTAGGCTTGGACAACAGTTCACTAACTGAGCCTTGACTCAGGCCTAGAACGGCTTCGCCAAATATCTGAAATTGAGTAGGTGATAATAATATATTATATCCTTAGGTCGAGAAGTAAGCTATTATATACCGAGCAGTTTTATACAGGGTGAGTTTTTTCGAGGATCAGTACAGGGATCTTCGAAACTATAGCAGTTACCAAAAAGGCTAAATGGACAAAGAATTGTAGTTTTGGAATGCTCTACTCGAAGCCAATTTAAGTTTTCTAAAATTTGACAGCTGTCAAGAGATATTTGAGAAAAACCTATTTATGGACAATTTTTAAATTACTCCTAGTTCCGCTGACATTAATCTGACAGGAAAACATTAAATAGAAAGCTTGTAGGAAATTTAATTCCAAACAAAATGGTATAAGACATTTCTCCAAAATAACTGTTATTTTTGACATATGACACAAATTTTAGTTTTTTTTCATGTCATAAATACTTGATTATTGCTTTACCAAATAGAGCATTTTATTACGATTTCTGTGATATATCACATCGTTAGGATTTTTCCGAAAATAAAGTGTCTGCGAACAATTTGTACTTTTTCAATTTCGTTGATCTAAGTTAGCCATGGAAAATAGTATATGACCATCGTTTCCATAGCAACAAATAATAACAACATCTTTCAATTTTTGACATTTAAGGTTAAATTCAACTTAGAAATCTAAGTAAGTTTAAATTTTGGTAAAGTTTTTTTGACTATTTTGTTTAGTTCATCTCAGTTTAAAGGCTTGCAAAAAACAGAGAGAAACATATTGAAAAGTGTGTAAGTATTGTTTTATGTTATATGCTTAAAAATAAACGTTATTGTTAATACAAATAGTTAGGAAGGTATTTATTACCAATGTATTCGTGATTTTTGAAGTTAACAATGACGAGGAATATTTACGCTTCGCAGCGCCCTTATCGGTAGTTGAACTGGCGAATAAAATGCATCCATTTCATACTCAAAATTATTCGCGAATTCAACTACCGGTAGTATCGAGTGACAGTTGAGACTGGTCAGACTTGTTTATTTATTGGAGTCGATGATATTTATAAAATAAAACAATACTTACTCGATCTGTTTATATTTCTTTAAAAGCTTGCAAAAGTTGATTAGAACAAAACAAATCACAATCACATGTGTGACCAATTTGACCCCAATGTCAACAAAACAAGTGTCAAATTACTACTTGTCATTATAATTTTAGACTTTTAAACTCGCGAATATGTCAATGCTGTTTTTCAATTGTCACGTTTTGACGTTCGTAATTTTTCAAAGGGGTACTTTTGTAAGCACATACAAGTGAAACAATCAGTGTTGAAAATTTAATGTCCTGTACACCACCAGAAGTTACTTTTCAATGAAAATTTTTCCTTCCTGTGTTTCAGTCAAAGTGTGAAATATTTTTTTTATATCGTTTATTTCATAACGCTTCGGCGAGACAACAGCGCCATCATCAGATTTAAAATTGATATAAACTCATAATTGGGAAACGTTAGATTCTTTTAGGTCTTTGCTGTCTTGAAACCCCAAATTTGTGCGGTAGAAACAATAATATAATAACACTTAAACGCAGTCAGGAAAATAAATTAACTTGAATAAAAAAAACGTTTCTTATTGTCGGAGTCAAGTCAAGTACCTTTTGTCCAATATTGTTCGCCAGCAGAGCTTCCTTAATTTTGGTGGTGATCACTTGAGTGTCCAGGTCTTGAGTTAAGGCTGCCATCTCATACACGCTGGGGCTCATGTGCTGGTGCATGTTGCGCATGCTTTGATGGCTCATGGGGGAATGTGTGGGAATTCCATGACCTGGAAACATTCACATTTTGATAAACTCCCTATTGGAAACGTAGATAACTAGTTTTTTCGAAGAAATTGAGGTTTATTGCAAGATCGTTACCTGCTTGCATACTTTGCTGCTTCTTCAACAGCTCCTGGTTCTGTAAAGCGATGGCATGGTGTGGAGGAAGACCGAGGTGATTTAGCAATTGAGCTTGTGGCATTTGAGCGGCGCTGGGTGGGCCTAAAGGAGTGGGTTGAGGTTGAACCACCTGAGGAGGTCCTGAAATTGAACAATTACAGTAGAACCTTTGCCCTGCCAATTCCTCCATGTAGCTCAAAGCTTTACCTAGTTGGAGGGACGCTGGGAGAAGAGCATTTTGCGAGTCCTGTTGGATCTTGCTTAATAAGCCCGCGGCCTCCGAGAGAATTTTTTGATTTGCTGGAAGATTTGGCTTCGACAGAGGTGTCGCGCAGGCTGCAAGCAACACATGGTGTTTTATAAATATCCCTCAATCACTTTAAACAGTTAAAAATACTTATTCGACAAACAATCTTACCGTTGCCATATCCACCTGTCCGCATCAATTTTTCAGGTGCAATTTTATATTGGCTGGCTACCAACTTATGAACTGCATCACCATCCTCTAAAAACATCTTCATTCTTATAAACGGCTCGCGGCCTTTTTGCGTAAGCATATGCCACGGTTTCGGTCTTGCCAACAAGTCGCTTACTGAACCCTGACTGAGGCCTAATACGCTTTCTCCAAAGAGACGCTGAGATATCGAATACTGGCTAAGTTGTTCTTTGACCTTTGAAAAATTGTACTTTAGAACATTGCCTTTTCCCACTCTGGCTAATTCGGCAACTCGACTTACTTTTTTGACAATATCTTCGGTGTTTAAATTATTGTAGAGATCGAATTGTTGTTGAGTTATAGGAGGTAAGACGGCTTTGAGAGGACGTTGAGAGCTGGTGTGGTGCGGTTGGCTCGGCGGTTGCGAGATCAAAGAGTTGGTGATCGATGCCATTCTTTGTAAGGGCGAAGCTGCCGACGATGCTGAAATTTTACATGCGCTGCTTAGCCGAGGTGCTCGATTTTCGCAAAAAGTTGCGTGTTTACCAGTGAAATCTTCGCTGGTGGGCGTCATGGGAGGCAAAATGGCATTTCCCAAGGGACTGGAAGCAGTGCTGTTTCCACTCGCTCCAGTTCCCGGCTCCAGCTTCGGTCTTACTAGGCTAAAAGCGCTTCCAGAGTGTCTGGACATGGAGTCTTCGTCTTTTTCCTTCATGTCATCCAGCCCGTTCATCAGCTTCATTTTGTCCTTTGGCAGCGATAGATCTTGAACGCCTCCGTTTGAGCTCTGAAAGACCTTTGATCTGTATATTTTTCCGTCTACTCATCTAATTTAACAATCATTTTTTCGTTTGATGCCAGTTAATGCATTACTTTTCACAAAACTGGAAGAAGGATCTAAAATGTTCGGGTCAAATAAATGCACAGAGTAGTTTGAGCTCTGGAAAACCTTTAGTCGGAATATGTTTTCGTCTAAACTAGGGCGCGGAATTTTTAAAAATCTGATGTTCGAATATTCGTTTAGTGGTTTATTCGAATAGTAAAATTATTCGAATACTCAAATATCTAACGAATATTCGAATATTTGAAAAGTGCCTTTGTCGGCACATTAATTGTAACATCGCGTAAAAGTTGATGACGCGAATCACCAGAAAACAGAGACGTAATTTTACATTCATTTGCAGGAGAGTAAATATGATTATTTTCATTTGCTTGTAAATATATGGGTATTTGTTTAAATGCTTGTAGAATATGAATAATTTATTTTATAAAAGTATACAAAGTGCATATAAAGATATTTGMACCTTGTGAGTTTGATAATATTGGTGTATTCGAGTATTCGATTATTSGAGTTATKMSTAYAYWYRAWTATTCGMKTTWYRAMTAYWCRWATATTCGAATACTCGAATTATTCGAGTTTGATTCCGAGCCCTMGTCTAAACGGCTATTTTAACGCTGCTTTTTAGCAATTCGAGAAGTCGAATTCTTCTATAGTCGCTTGCTAGAAGAGCTTTCATATTAATTACCTGCTGCCCCATTGGTTGACATCCTGTCCCTCCTTGCAGGGAATGTTGATTTTGCTGCTGGTTCTGCTGATGTTGCGCCAGCGCTTGCTGTTGGAGCGCCAGAAGCCCTAACGGGATTTGACCTGGCGCTTGATTTTGGTTCAATTTGGCAATTTCCCGATGATAAGCATCCAACGCCATTCTGATCTCGTCCGATCGGTCCATCGGGTTGCTGCTAAAGAATTGAGGCAGGAAAATACTGTATATTAGTTTAGCTCTGTTCTGAAACAGACGCGTGAGTTGACGTGAGTTGAAACTCGTCGTTTTGTCGTTTTTAGTTCATGTGCATACGCTTGCAACTCACCCCGCTGGAAATCCTTCTCTGGGAGACCGCATGTCCTCCATTCGGCGTCCCATCAGCTTGGCCAACTCCTCTTGGTAAATCCGCACAACTTTCTCCTGTGAGATGTCGTCGTTTTCGTACTTCTTCAGCCTTTTGTTCAATGAGGAGTCCTTGGAGAAGGGACTGCTGCAGCCGTGAGGCGACTTTGAGTCCTCATTGCTGTGAGTGTCTGATTCAGTTTTGATTTGAGCGAATGGATTGCTTTCGGTCAGAATGTGAGCTAGTCGTTCTTCGTTAAAGTCCGATTCGGGTCGGCCGAACGGGATGGATCCGTCTTTTCCTGAGGATGAAAAATTATCTGTAAGGATAATTTGGGAAAACATCCTTAGTTCAGTTGTATTGGTTTTGTGAATTAAATACTAGTTAGTTAAACGGGCAATAAAACAGGCTGGAAGATGATTAAAGCTATTAAAAGTAATTTAAGTTTCCAACTTCCAACTGAGGCCTAATCACTGCGACTTGTAATTAAACCGTTTTTTTGCATTAATGTATTTTTACTCAGCAATTCTTGGTTCGAGTTTATAAAGATTTTAATGGGATATTCGATTTTTGTCGGTACCCCCGAAAAATATATAAACTTTTTTGCGGCGTTCTACTCATGCAAGGAAGTTCAAGACACGCAAACCGTCACTGTTTCAATCGCGGCCTCAGTTTGATTATTTTTCGATACATTCACTGCTCCGTCAGGCTGAAAGTATACTTAAAGTTAAATCGCATGATTTATAGACGTACAGGGAATATATTTGAATAAGGCCTTTTCAGGTTCTCAATTGGATAATGGCTTGTGAATTATCTGCAACCTTTTTAGATTGAAATTTAAGTGTGCGTTTTGAATGAGATCGACAACCCAGAAAGCGATTTAATTCCACTAATTTCCTTTAGAATATAACTGTAGCATAAAATCTTAAACGTGAAAAGATAATCGCATATTTACCCAAAGAGTTTTCTAGATGCGCAAATTCCCATGACCGGATAATTGTGCGTTAGCGACATTATTTAAACGATTGTTATAGTAGGAGATGTAAGTATAGATCTTGTAGGCAAATATTAAAATGTCATCTATACTAAGAGGAAATTTCATGATTTTATTTTTGTACCGTTACAGTACATTTCATTGTTTCTGTCGGTCGAATTGTTAATATGGAAAAATACACAGATTTTTTGACATAATTATGAACGGATGTGGTTTGGTATGGGTACCGCTCATGGGCATGGTTTACAGACTGTTGATTTATCGAAGAATTTTACAGAGAAAGATGTATGTAATTATGTAAGTTCTGAACACGCGAGTATTTGGTTGCATTACACGGTAGTTACACCGAAATAACGCTTGTCTACAAAAAATATCAATTATTTTGCATATCTTCGCATGTTTTTTGGTATTTTATTTGTTCAGTTATTAACAATATTGACGTGAGAAAATTGCATTTTACTGTTTATTTATACCCATTTATGCGAGGGAATTGTTGCGTAATGAAGCTAGGAATAACTTGGCAAATGTACTATTATTTAATTGTTTTCGGGACAATTAATTTCAACCTGAAATTACTGCTTTCTAAATTTTATTGAAGTCTGCGTTTCGTTCGTTCGTTTGCGTCTTTAGTTCTGTTTTTAATTTATTTTGCTTGGTACGCGCTATTGGAATAAATGGGTTGCCTCCACGGCCTAAAAGCTTGAAAAATCGCCGATATTGCTTTGAAAACTGGTGAACTTTTCCGGCTGTGGCCGTTGGGAAGCAATGTTCGCACCTCTGAAGAAGCAAGTCACTGGTGCCTGCGAAACGTTAGCAAGAAATTTCTTTTGCCCGACGGTCTGAAAGCCCGAAAAACTGACTAGTTTCACGCAATAGCCGGTACCTTGATCATAGTTTACAACTTGTTTCAAACTTGTTTGGAATTATGTGAGCAATTGAAAATTAAAAAATATATATAGGGTGTTTCTCTAAAAATTATATTACTAGGTAAAATGTATTAAGATAGGAACTGGATTCACACCTCGACAACGCCAAAAAATAACAGATTAATTAATAGGACCATTTTTAAAGAAAGTTCCAAAAACTGTCTTTTGCTAACGCAAAAAATTGAAAAAGTACAAAACTGCCGCGGAAGTTGAACAGATCACAGCTGGAAAGTGGATGCAAATATCTAACCCAGTAATAGCATTTTTCTTTTCCCGAAAGAGTATTTTGTGAGCTGTCTTTTTTTGATTAAGTTTAATAAGAAATTCCTAATTGGGAAAGTTAGACAATGAATAACATCTCGTACCTCCCAAAAGCCTGAAAATATATCGAACAAATTATGTGTTCATCAAAACTGTATATTTCATTCTTGTAATAGAGCGTTTCGCAAACCATTTTTTGCTAATTAGGTTTAATCAGGAGTTTCTAACCTTTGCAAAGTTAGAAGCCAAGCTATGAAAACAAGTAAGACTGAACCGCTTATTTATGGAAAAAGGTTCAACATATATGAACAGTTAATAGTCTTTTGCTGACTACGTTTAGCTTACCTTCAAAAGTTAGAGCCAAAAATATTAATACAGAATCAACTGCGTCGAAATTTAAACAACTCATACGTCGAAAACGATTGAAAACAGTATGAGTAAAAATTCGGTTAGGAGCCTTATAATAAAAAATAAATAAACACATTTTTTTGGTTGCAATCGGTTGCAATCCGTTATCTGAATGGACGAAAGTTCATCATCAGCGAAAATTGTTATCCCAGAAAATATCACCATGTTTCGCGTATTAAGAAATATATATTTATTGATCGATCCGCGGGTAAATATCTATTTGGAAACAATGCTTAGGGACCTGCTTTCGTAAAACTAAAATTTCTTAAACTTAACTCAAGGGCTGAATATACTTCGGTTTCTGAAGCGATGGCAATAATCATTGAGTTGCGGTTGAAACAGTTATATACCATAGCAAACAGCCGATACTTTTGAATATAAAATGATAAACTTTCAGGGAAATTTCGACGAAAGTAGACTTTTTTAAAGATGAAAATCGAAACTTAGAAGAACTACGTTTGGGTGTTTCCGAGTTAAGTACAAGAGCCATATTTTGTATGCCTTTTCGCAAACTTAATTTCATATAATAACAACATCAAGGGCGAAAAAACTGTAGAATTTCGCCAGTTAAAACGCAATATTATTTGGCGAAATTAATCCAATGCTCTTGTACATTAACGCGTCGAATAAATGAGACTGTCGTTGCAAAAAGCATCGTTTATTCGAATTAGAACTGTCCGTTCTCAAAAATTTATGTAGAGTGAAAACTAATGAGACATATTGAAAAGATACACTCACGCCCAACAAAAACAATCATCGGAACAATTTTAATGAACAAAATAACTTGGCACAGAGTCAACGCTTGATTCATTGTCTCCGCAAAGATGAGACATCGGCTTTTCGGTATTTTCGAGTGATATTTTTGATTTCTGAATAGGCAATAAAGATATTAAGTAAGTTAAAAATATTCCTGCTTCGAAGGTTTTATCGATTTTTGGGGCCGAGTATTCAGGGTAATTTTCTGTTTCTTTGTCACCCAAACCTCATTCTTGTTCAGACATTCGTCAAGCTGCCCGCTGGAATTCTTCAGACGATATGGAAGGTATGTTTTATATACAGGGTGATTTACGTAGACCGTGCAATGGAAGTTTTCCAACTTACAGTTGTTTTAGAAACTTCAAATTTTGATTTGTTAAAATACATTTAGCCCTCTAGCTATACAGGGTGTACGGAATGCAACCTAACTTTCTTATTGTAAATGCAAACCCCCAATTTCCCAACTTTAAGGTGCCCATTTTGTAGTTATGGGTGCATGCAGCTTACAAACAGTGATATAAAAACAGTTGAAAAAGTAGTTTTTTTCTAAATGGCACCTTCTCACTTGTTTGGTCCTGTTTAGTTTAGTTTCTTATTATTTAATTGCAGCAAAGTTTTCAAACCGGACCACAAAAAACTAGTAGGTTTTTCGGGATTTTAGGCCGTCGAACAATAGAATTTCTTCCTAACGTTTCGCAAGAACAAGTGGCTTGCATCTTCAGAGGCGGTTTGCTTGAATGCTTATACTGTTCTGTTGATGGGCTTATACTGTCAGTTTTTCATGTTTCGAAAACAACATTTTTACTCGGTTTTTCTACCTTTACAATTGTCTATATGTCATAGTACATTTCTGCAAGTTGGGCAACTTCTAATGCACGGTCTGCGTAAATCACCCTGTATATATACGATCTATCGTAATGCCCACAAATCCACAATTAAAATCTCGTAAACATCGGATTCGGCCCTAACGAGCTTATAATTGGCTTTAAAAATCATCGCCCGTATTACCTATAATCAATTTTATAACGCAAAAACCCAACGGTCGGCTTGTAATTTATATCTCATCATTGTTAAAGGGTCGACGAGTTTGATTTGGTAGAAGATAACTGATACCAGGATTCTTCTGAGTTTAAACGTCCTTTGGCTGTTCGTGAGATTTCTATCGAGTTATTGGGCCGATTAAGCAGGCAATGCATTCTGGAGAGAGCGAAATTGTCGGTATGCGTATGTATATTTTACTCAAAGTTTAGTCGTTTCGCTTAATAGTAAAAGCATTCGCTGCTCACGAATATCGGCATCAGTTAGGCGCGCCGTCGAAGAAATTTGTAATTTTTAGGAGTTGGCGCAGTGCTACGCAAATTGGTTTGGTGCGACAACTCAACGCACCGGCGCATTAACTCAGTTCCGTTGCTGGAAAAATGTTGATGATTTGTTTTACTTGCTTTTAAATTTGTTTTAAGGGCCATTTATTAATAATATTTTTTAAATTTCTTCTAAATTTCAGAATTTTCCAGTTTCCGGTTTGCAGGGAACTTTAGAAAACCCTTTTCATCTTCGAATTTGGCACAAAAACCAAATAATAATTTTATTCACTTTTTACCGAAAGTAATTAAGATTATCTTGAAAAATCGACCAGAGCAAAAGTTTACAACATATTATTTGGAAAATTCGCTGCCCTCATCGCTCTGAAGATTTTTAAAGTTCCTTTAAATTTTCAGGTCATTCTAGTTTTAACAAAGTTTCTAAGAAGCAATTATTTTAACGCAAAAATTGCATTAGTTCTCAGTTAAAATACTGACAATCTTTAGGTATTTTCTGTGAAAAATTATAAGATACATTTTATTGGAACACTCGCCTCCTTAACCACTTTGCAAACATTTTTGGAACACTTTTTTCAGCTTCGAATTATGGACAAAATCCTAATAATTAATTCTGGGTCTTTTTCCAAAAATATTTCCCAGAACTGAAAAAGCG